TTGAGTCACTGCTTTCTGTGGTTCTGTTGTTTCTGATTTAGGGATCTTTCTAACCCGTTCCCTGTTCAGGTTCACATCCTTTTTTGTTTCTTTCTCTTTTAATCTTAGATTTGCTGCGTCTTTTGCCAATGCAATATCATTTTCATGATCTATACTAATACAACTCGTGGTAGACGGCAGACAAGAATCTTCGATTGAAAGAGAGGAGAAACTATTTACAAAACTTTTGTCCTTAGGGGCAGCCGGTTGATGTGTCACCGCTGGCCTCTTCAAAAACCCTGAAGGACTTTTGATCTTTCTTCTGCAGTCATCTTCTGCAGGAATTCTCTCACGTTAAATTGAGGCTTTGCTTGTGCCTCCTTTTTGCATTCGAAGGACCGATGTCCCTTTTCACCGCACCGGTAGCAAAGTCCCTTTTGTCGGTACTCTGCTTTGTCGACCTTCATGGGGTCACCGGATTGGGTATATAGGTACCCGGTTGCATCCTTCTTTCTCTCGACCTTTGGTTCGGTTGTCTTTCCTCCTCCGTCTTGCTTCCTCCTTTCTGTACTCCTGAAGCTCTCTTTTTCCGCCTCTCGATGACGCCATAAGTAGTCGACACGGATTAGTTCCTTCTTCCACCCTTCGTAGTTGGCTGGTTCTCGACCGCCGTATATTACCTGATTGACCAGGGGTTCGTTCATGTTCCTACGTAGAAGTGAAATGAGGAAGTCCTCGTTTGCTACTTGGAGGTAACCAGCCTCCCTCCTCAGTTCTTCAAAATGTTCAAAATGTTTCTCGGCCGTGTTCTTTCCTTGTCGCAAGATCATTATGTCGTTGCGAGCGGCGAGTTGTTCGTGTACATTTTTGAACCGCGTCTCCATCTTTGTTGCGAACCACTCGAAATTCTCGTAAGTGGTTTTGATGCTTTCCCCTCGCATCCTTTTCTCCATCTTGGTCTCCATCCACTCTGTTCTAAAAGCTGCCGCTGCTCCTCCTGTCATGAAAGAGAGTACGTAAGCAATTTTTCTTCTTTTGTCCGCAAAATACTCTTCGTCATCTTCGAAATTAAGCATCAAAGCTTCGCGGAAAGCTTTATACTTCTTACGGTCTCCATCGAAGTTCTCAGGCTTCTGGAGAGCCGTTCTGGTTCTGTCTACGCGCTTCGGCTGCGTAGCGGGCGGCGGTGGTGCGGATGTAGAAGAACTCGACGTAACTAACCTCAGCTTGGCTAGCAATTCGTCTACTTCTTCTTTGGCCTCTTTCAGCTGGGTTTCGTATAATTCGTGGAGCCTCCTCTGCTCCTGCTCTATCCTGGTCTGAACGTATTGTTCCAGTCCAGCTTCCTGCGATGTCGGGGGTTGGGGTTCTAAAGGCGGGAGCGCGCCCGACAATTCTCCCATCCCCATTTCTGGTGTGTCCTGCCCTTCTGGCGGACCTCGCCACTCTCCGAATGCTGCCGTTGTCATGTTGGTCTGGGTAGGGGGTGTGGTAGCGTGTTCTGATTGGTTCTATCTCTGGGAATGTAAAATATATTTCCCAGGCTATTCTGTTCTCGGAGTAGAAGCGTTGTTCTGCTAACCACTCTTCGAAATCACCAGGTTGCATATAAGAGAGTTCCCCGATGATAAATCGGATCAACACTTTCTCGAATAAGATCAACCAGACTATCGTTTCTCTTTTAAGCCAAGCGGTTCCTCTTCTGTCCCGCACTGACTATATACGTAACTAATCTAGTTCGGAGATATCGGTGTTCTAATTGTATAGTAATTGGGGTCCGAACGGTTGTCCCAATGATACCCAGCGAGTAACCGCGTGCAGGTCTTTTCCGACTGGCGGAGGCAAGTGCCCGGCCTGGTCAGAAGGGTATGGAAGTTTATCTAAACTAAGTAATACCTATCGGGCTCCACGCCGTCAAGGGTTCTAGCTACTGGGTTGGAAGGGGGAGTGAGAGGGATGTCGACAAACGTTTCTGTGGGTGAAACGTTGGCAGGAAAAAATGAGATGATGGTGTTGGGTCGAGTGATAGGTGATGTGATGGTAGTTTTTGTGAGGTAAACGTAGAGTTTGGCGATGCCAAAGAATATAAGTGTGATGAGGGGGAATAGGATGATGATAAGGATAGCTATGATTTTGCTCATCAACAGGTGTCGTACCAAGTTGTAGGTTGTGTAAAGACCCTAGCTGTATGCCGGTGACCCGAGCAGCGTAGGACTTAAATCTTAACAACAAGTGTTCAGACAAGCAAGTATTACAGAGTAAATCTACAACTGGGGTATGTACATGGATATTGTACTAGTTATATAGACAAAGGCATGAGGCTACGGTGAGGTATGACGTAGCGTATTGGTAATGAACATGTGTATGTAGTGAGGCTGATTGGTAATGTGTATTACTAATAGATCATGTGATACTTGATAAGATTAGATCAGGAGGAGATTAGATAAGGTGAGATAAGAGTCTCTATCTCTTGATTAGATAAGAAAGCTGAATCAGATGGGTATGATCGTGACAAATCCAAGCAACCAGCATAGGTGTAATTCACAGCCAGCATAACCAAGTTTTGTCACATCCACAATCAATGAAAAAGTTCAGAAGTAGTTAACATATTTGATTGTATTTTGGACCTACAAGATTTTGTGAGAATAATGTATTTTTGTTAACATATTTCTATTTTTCCACACAAAACATAGTATTTATGGAAATATGTCAACCAAAGTACATTATTCTCACAAAATCTTGTAGGTCCAAAATATAATCAAATATGTTAACTACTTCTAAGCTTTTTCATTAATTGTGGGTGTGACAAAATTTGGTTATGCTGGCTGTGATTGCCCTTGATGTAGTTGTGGCTGAAAACACAGCATGTCAGAAAATTTTGCAGGATATTTTTTACGTTCCTAATCTAAACACCAACCTTTTATCCATTTCTTGCCTTGTCAACAAGGGCTATCAGGTCTCTTTCACTGAAAAAAACTGTGAGATGTCAGTCAATGGCTCTATAGCTGCCCTTGCAGATTGCAAAGGAAATCTATAATCCAGGTTTGCACAAAGTGCAAGAGAGTAATAAAGAGCGAATCCTAATGTAACAACTAATGTTTGTATACTCTGGCACAAAACAAGAAGAAGCAGAGAAGGGTGAGTGGAGGAGAGGATAATCTCTCTTGGATAGGACCAAGTTTGTTGTGGGTAAACAACAGAAGGACTCACTGAGGAGTCTCCTTGATTTATTGGGATTTATATAGTAGCCCTTGTGACCAGCTCCACCACGTGAGAGAGTTGTATCTAAAAATAAAAGGAGGCTGCACAGCACAAGAAAGTCAAAATCTAAGTGGAGTTTGAAATAAAAGGAAAGTGCCGCATGGTACAAGTGTCCCAAAAAAGAAAGAAGGTTGAAGCGGGGACTGAAAGTAAGAAGTCCAAAAATTGTGTATCATAACAACCAGTGACATCATATAGAATATAATGGAACACTATAGAACATTTACATTTATTTATATTAACTATACAGTACCAACATGTATATTAGCTTATATACCCTTGCAATAGATGGAGACTCCTCAGTGAGTCCTCCCATTAAATACCATCAACAAACTTGTTCCTATAAACTTAATTTTACCAACTCTACTTTTCATTACTATACTTTTGAGTTCCTTTGTGTGTGCACTAGAGTATACAAACTTTGGGGTATTTCCACAAATGTTCACTAAGAGCATATGTGAATGGCAATGAAGCCATACTGTAACAACCAAGAGTTTGTATACTCTGGCACACAACTCAGACAAGCTACAGTGAAGTGAGTGGGAGTGGTCAGGACCGAGTTAGTTGTGGGTAAACAACAGGAGGACTTGCTGAGGAGTCTCCTTGATCTATTGGGGTTTATATACATCTACAGGCTATTTGTATATGTGTACTATACAGTTGATGAAGGCAGTGGCTGATGATGTCATAGAGCACAGCCCGTGTGACCAGCACCACTGTGTGAGAGACTTGTAGCTAAGAATAAAAGAAAGCAGCACAGCGCAAGAAAGTGGAGTTTGAACAAAATGGAAAGTGCTGCATGGCACAGTGTGTGAAAACTACAAAAGAAGGTTAAAGTGGAGAATGAAATTTAAAGGTTCAAAAATTGTGTATTGTAACACATACTGAAGTCCTCAGAAAATGTTTTCAAAACCAGGTAAGTTGAAATATATTTACCTTGACTTGTTTTAAATGCTGCTTGGGTGGGAACATTATTCCAAAAAGTTGTCTGTTCTTCAGAGGAAAAGTCCTACATTGATGAAGAAAATGAGAGATAGCTTGTAACAGGACATTTTGTAAGTATCAATGCTTCTTTTACCACTACTGATTTATCAAAACAGAAATTTGGCCAATCTTCATTATCTAGGGATTGATAGAGGATTTTGGTATTGATTTTGAAGCCCTGGAAGGTACTGTCACTGTTGTTGAGCAAGCTGCTTGATAGCATTCCTTGTTTTCTATCTATTTATGTATCCTATATTATATTGTTGTAACAAGTGCAGTGAGTGTGATATCTACCCTAAATGCTATCATAGTATCAAGGTATTATATGAGTGCTATGAGTGCTGTAAGTGCTATGTCTACAGTATTGATGCTACTATATGAGTCTCTTGAAACTATAGTCAACTATAAGGGAATATTTTTCCTGAATAGATGCTGGGGTTTCTATTACAGCTATAACCACTATGACATCTATTTTGCAACTATAGTACTATAAGAGCCTAGCCTATATAGCTAAAGTATTTGTCCTGATGAGTCAGGCTCCACCAACCACCTGTTATGGTTCACAATTTTTGGACCTTTAAATTTCATTCTGCTATTTAACTTTCCTTCACAAGAAGACCACCCCCTGACAAGCCATTCAGACCAGGGTTTATTACATTTACCTGTTTACTTATATATGTCGAAGTGTCTGTGTCCCGCCCCAAGCGGACTGTTCAACCACTCAGATCAAGCTTTATTGGTACCGAATGGGGGCTCCTGCACGCCACCTTAGTTCGGACAAGACTAAGTCACAGGCGGAATATAATAAGCGATGATGTAATCAAATGTAGTGTGAGGTACTCGAGCATAACAAAGGTATTTGCGCTTAAAGGTATATAGAACCACTTTCTTCCGACGTAAACATATGCGACAATAGATTATATAGAAACTGTCCGGACTCCCGGACTTGTGATATTCAAATGGGGACGTATTTTCCAGTCCGCACCCCAATTCAAACCCACGATTTATCATCAAGTCGAGAGGAGCCAACAGCCAACTCTGAAGTAGACCAAGGAACATTGGAGGTGGTTTCTCCGCTACCATCAGATGGAAGGGGGTATGAAGGTGTAGCAACATGCCTACTCTGGTTGAAACTGACCCAATTTCCGGCACTCCCGGATCTTACGTGTTGAGAGTGCGGAGCGTTATACATGTTGGAGCGGTAATCGGTAGAAGATATTCTATAAGATGAGCGCTGATTTGAGCCCGTAGGTGAGGACGGTGCTGTAAGATCACCCTTCACTTCGGGCCCGTCGAACGAAGGGAATATATCAGGGTTTTGAGCAACACTCCTGAGCCGCTAATAAATGAAACCGTCGTCATGAAAAATTCTTCTAACTGCTCTCCGACATACCTGGTTAAATCCCATGATATCAAGCCGTGTATTGTTAGACCTGCCCAAATCAGGACCTGCCGTGAGAGGGACGGGAGATTTGATTGAGGTCTGTTCAGAAGCACGAAGTAACAACCCGTTACTTGTGAACGTAGGGTATGCGGATTTATTTTGTTTTGCCACACTGTTCAAAGCGGAAGTATCCACGCGCAGCGAACCTGTAGGTGGCCGTGAGTTGAATAAGCGGCTCGGAGACTGTGCGGCCTCTACTGGTAGAGCAACACTGGTATGAGCTGTCGCCTCGCTTTTACGCTGGATACGAGTAAGAAGAGAGACAGACGTCTCGTTCGGATCACTATTGGTACTCAAGGATCTTGGGCGCCCATTTGACACTTGCGGAGGAGGAACACCATCAGAGCCCTGTATAATGCCCGGTACAGGAAGCTCTGTATGAATGAAGCAGCATCTTTTCCCGTAAGGACATGCTCCTGATACCCAAAAAGTCTATTGACACGTTATTACTTTGTTCACGGAAAAGTGAGTGATGGACACTAACCCTGCAGATTTCAGTCTTGTACTAGATATGAGCGTAGTTTAGCCAGAACAATTCTACGGGAACAACTGTAAGACAAACCTTTGGGTGACGAGCGACTTTGCGGATTTCTTCTTCCCCATGCGCAAATTGACATTTAGACCCATATCGGCAAGATCCTTTTTCCTCCCAGGACCTGCATAGCTCAGTCTTATACAAGCCCAGTTTGCGATTGTTTGCACTTGGTCCATTGCCATTTTGCGAACTTGAGCCTGTCATGTCCATCTCCACTTGCGTTGCTGGCCTACCATAGGGCCCTGCGAAGTGACCCTGCGAGCCGATAGACATACCCTGCATGGTATTCATGTCAATTTGAGGATACCCATCTTGTGTGCCAAAAAAATGATTAGCATAGAGGTTTATGGCTGGTGTAGGAATGGCTGGCGCGTAAATGTTATGGCTAGATGTCAAAGCTGGATTGTTGGCGAGCGCAAGGGTCGCAACTTCTCGCAGGGTGGAAGGGTCAGATGTAGAATGATGATGTGTTCCCCGGAAGACATTAAGAGGTTGTTGACCACGATGAACGTGGTCCGGATGTGCGAGTACCACGTCATAGAGCTGCTGTGCGTTACTCATCGACAAATGGGTAAGATGACTCGCAGGGTAACCGGCAGAACTGGAACCGATCATTATATTCTGGGGAGGAAAACCTCGCATGGGATGGCGGTATCCGACAGACGGTACACCATTCGGACGACCGGCAATATAATGTGGGACTGCATTAGCGCCAGAGTCCGGTGCTTGAGCCAGAAAAGTTCTTGGCTGCATGGTGTACTCATGAGATGAAACGGCAGGAAGATTGGCCATCATTTGGGTCGCGTAGTCCTGATGTTGGGGGGAGCGAGAGAAAATACCATCATTTGGTGCTAATGAAGGGTACGTTGGCTGCTCCGGGGGAAATGGTCTTTCATTATCTACCGATACCTCCCGGAACTGGGAAGGGGTCCATTGCTGGGGTTGAGCACCAGAAACCGCCCGCAAATTAATTGCGGGATTATCTTCAGCATGCTGCAGACGACGCAAGTCAGCACTCGATAACCCACCGCTGTACGAATGGGGACGCTCTTTTGGCTCTTCACGCGAGCTATCCTTCATCAATGGGTGGACATGCATGGTGTGACTCGCAGAAGATATAAAAGACTCTTGAGATTGCGTTGTGTCACTTGAAGAGCCTCGTGAATGCGATATAGTAACATGATGGTCATACTGATGGGGAGATGACTCAATACTGGCATCTGATGATGTTTCCAGAGGGCTTGCTTCATTGCGTTGTACAATAGCAGAACCGGCCACTTTGGACTGAGGAGTTCTCAGCTGAGCATGACCATCACTCCTCAGGTCGCCGGTAGAGCTAATTTTAAGTGCGGCAATTTCTTGAGCAAGATCCCAATCACCATGGGCTGCTTCGGAGTCAACAAGCTGACCGTTGCCATTCAAGTGCCAGCGACGAGGATTTACTGTTATACCGTTAATGGGGTCCACAGAGCGGCTCGATTTAGGATGGCTAGTATTACGAATAGGCATATTGGATGACAAGGCTTGCGTCTGAAAGTTAACTAATGGGCACTCAGGGAGGTTTAAGATCTGAAAATGAACGTTGATGTGTAAGCAATGACCCCATGGAAAGACAGTTATCGTACCTCTGGGTTGATTGTCCTGCGCCCTTGGAAAACGTGGACTGGGGACCAGGGAAGAGGGTCAATTGATTTCAATATACCTGATACTGATGAAGACAAGTCCTCTGAAACCGTAAACAGTGTATTCTTGGCTGTAATATGTGTGACCACTTGGTGCATTTAAATTTGAATAGGAAGAAGTCCTGAATGTTGGTGTTGGTGCGAAACCTGTGCAACAGAAAATATTACACTTTGCTTACTGCTATCTTTGGAAACAGAGAGCTGTCGTCGCGCAAAATTTAAGCAAGCTGTTGTGATGTTATTTGAAGGATGGTCAAAAAGGAGTCGCAAGGAAACGACGTTAACGAGTAGATAGATGGTCGTGTTGATCTCGAGAAAGATTTGGGAATTGCAAGGAGAGCACAGGCAAGTCCGAGAGTCGAGGGTGGAAGTGGGGTGCAAGGAGGTCGTGAGGATTTCAGTCGCGTGTTGAATTCAAGTTGGAACGTGGCCAGGCTAGGTTGAGGGTTTGGACCTTAGGAAGCTCGTGGAATGAGTTCAAGAAGGAGCGAGGTAAAGGTGAGGCGCAGCCCAATGCAACGTTGATCGCAACGTGCCCTTGTCCCGGCGGTGATCGCTACTATGACAAAGCAGCAGTGTTTGCTTCCCTATCGATGAACGTCGATGAACACTCTGACACTCTGAAAATCAACTTGATTCAGAGCGACCCACAATCTCTGCCACTTGACAAACCCGGGCCTTTTTCCCATTGCTAATGATCAGCAACTAGTTATAATTATAACCTCAAAGATAAATATTTGTATCGAGTCATTATCATGCATTGGGTATCCTACATCAGCGAAAGAGTTTGAGCGTGTTATGATGCATTTCCTCGCCTGTATATCTGAGCGAATAAATGTGGCTGTTGGACAATGAATGTAAAAGTGCTGATTTTCATTGTAAATAAAAATTTCCAGGGATTTGTAAATAAGTTCCAACAAGCAAATAGTCACATCTGTTGAAACGTGTTTTAGGGCACTGTCAGGCCCAAATTCAGTAGTAATTCCCTGAAAATGTGGTGAAATATGACATTCACTATGTAAGTGGTGATTATGAGTCATCACCTGTCATCGTTTCTCAGGATATATTCCTGCGCACTACTATCGTTGGACAATAGGTGCAATTGGTCTGGGGAGAAGTTGAATAACTCACCAGTCGTTGAGCTTTAGACTGTTGGAACTTGACCAGTAGATATAATTTTTAGTTTTCTAGTTGCCTATGTAGAAAAATAAGCAAGAACTTGAAGCATTGGAGCAGCTGAACAAAACTGAAAAGACAACACATGTTTTGGAATGGTTCTGCAATTTCTGGTCACACTGGGTCACAATGGCACTCACAGACCAAATCAGGCGGAGCTTACCAGTCAAATTCCACCAGGTCACCAAGTCCTGACGCTGGTGGTATTGCGGTACGTACCAAAGCAGAGCTAGTGGTCCTTGATTGATTATCTTGGTGTGTGATTGCCTGTTTTGGTCACCTAGTCACGACTCCATCATTGTTTTCGTTTCTCCAAATGCTTTGAGGCCCCAATCAGCTCAGTAAGTATCTGGCATTGTAGGGGCCTACCTATTGACGTTTTCTAGAAAGATATTGCAATATTCCCAGCACGAGATCTGGTCAAATCTGGCCATCTTTCCCTCAAAATTCACACTTCTGGAGTTCAAGAGCATAGTGTCAGGTCTGTTGTTGTTGCTACAGATAAGCTATTCACTAAATTCTTTCACAATTATATTCTCTATACTATATTCTACGTCTGACAATTTTCTAGCTACCTGTACAGTGATTGTTGAGCCTCTGGAGGCCAAGTGCATATCTCTAACTGGTTGCATCCGGTGTCCAATGATAGTACCAAGTGAAAATACTCCGCAGGATTCTGTCAAATAACTACACTGAATCCTGGTATGACACTTTTTTATTTGTGGTGAAAATACACCGCTCATAGTATGTATTTCATCGCTTGCAATCAGATCATCTACCGGCGGCAAAGAACTCAAATTTTCAATGCTGCCATCAATACCAAGTTGCATTACCGTCCTATAGCTTATTTAGTCCACAGATGTGTCAACATCATAGATGGCTCGGGCTAAGTTCCCACTCCTATCAATTGTAGCCCATCTGTTATCAACTTTCACCCTCCCGACAACACATTGAACACAGGTCATGTCCATGACCTCTATCACGCTACAGTTCGAAAAATAAGGCACATCTAATGAATCTGTTGCTTCAATATGGCATGTTTTGACGGCCACAAGAATTATACTGGGAGGTCTTGAGAGTTGTAATTCCTCAACTGCAGGGAAAATTATTGTAATGATGTATTGGAGCTGCCCAAAATATGTCCATTTCTCATACTTGGGGGTTCAACGACGCTGGTGAGCAAATTTATCTGCCAGAGCTTCATACTATGTTATTTTAACATATGTCAATTTTGCCATCAATCCCAGAGTTCACTTACTTGAATGAAAGTGGCATCCCGCATATCTGGCCGTGATTTTGTCAACGCCGCAGCAACCATTATATCTCCCCCTTCCAGATGTTTGAATTTCCCCCATAATGATAGTGTTGCGAGAGGATAGTACTGTTTCATCATTGATGAAGTTATGTTGAATCATGTGGCCAAGGCGGCTATAATTTTCTTTTGCAAAGACATCTCTACCACACATTTACAACAAGGGGGTAAAAGAATGCAGGTTGGATCTGTAAGCATTTTTAGTTTTTTTTAGCTTAATGCATAAATAAAAGCTCACAAGCATTATCGCTAAAACATCCAGCAATCTGTTTCAAAGGCTTGAGACTTAGCTCTGACTTGATATTGTAAGCAAGCTCTATGTGTGTTAGCCTTGCATCATTGACTAGGTACACAGCCATAGAAGCATATGGATGTTGTCTGCTTTTAATCACCTGTTGCAATCACGTGCAGAACCTCTGCATTAGAAAGGCCGTCCATTCTATATTGTTGGCTATGTGCAGCAGTGCATGTATAGTTACTGGGCATGCACTGAGACTCTCAGAATTAAACTGGTAGTAATATCTGTAAGTTATTTCTTGTTATTGGTGAACAGTCTTACTTCAGAAATTGATATACTGACCACTCCTATTTAGCAACCCAGTCGATAAAGCCCGTACAGATTGTTTCAATGTCTTGCGCTGAGAGCTCAAATTGAAGACATAAATGCAACAATCACACAAGATCAACAAAGTGATTGTAGTATTGGTGATGGCAAAACCTTCAATGTAAGAGTATGGGGCCTAAATATAATGTCCCGAACAACCATGAATCCAACGTACAATTTGATAGGTCTTTTTCTATGTTGGGGAGGCTTGGCACATATTCTGAAGGGATGACTGCAATGTTAACTGTCCTACAGCCTCCCAGACAGTTTTCTCTAGTTTGTAACAACCGGTACCTTCCCCTAGACCTTTGTATCCGCCTGTCCAAAGCATCACTAGGTTAGGGATCACATTTTCCCACATCAAATGCATGAAGTCGTATGGAAAAGATGCAGGAAATGATAGGGATGAAAGGTGACTGAGGATTGGTAAGCCTTTTATTCCCTGAAGTTTTGATAACTGTTCTGATTCAGCATTATTGCCTGCAAGCTGGACTTCCTTTCCTTGTGCTATGATCTCGTTGTGCGTTCATAGTGGCAGGTGAGCTGGATTTATTTCAAAATTATTATTCCTAGATAATGGAACCCCTGCAGGAGTACTCCCATTCAGGTCCTCCCGTCTGTTATCTGGAATGTAATAGGTCGTATTCCTCCCACCTGAAAATAAAACACCAGTTATTTTGCAGATACCACAAAGTGAATATCTGTTGTGTCCCTTCATCTTCATAATCATCAACATTGCTGGAATGTTGCCGGATGCAACAACTAAATATGCATGGAGACAAAAAATACTTGCAAGAAGCACATCATACATGCAAACCCCGAGTGCCAATCTGATCATTTCCTCCACAAAATATTAAGAACAAAGCTTGAAGGAAGTGTCTAGCCACTTGCTGAGAGCAATCAGGGACTGGAACTAGAGTCCAATGTGAGTAACTTTATTATTAGAGAGTATGACAGGTATACAGTACCTAGAGTCCAATGTGAGTAACTAGAGAATAGGAAGCATTGGACTCTGCAGTACTGTCCGAAGTTTTGTAAACAAAGGTAAACAAAGCAGCCACAAAGGCGAAATAATAAAGAACACAATCAATAGTGGATGATAGAAGAATAGATAGAGAAAGGAATGAAGATATATAGGTAGCACAAAGGTGCAGAATCACCAAAAACTAACACAAAAGGCCACAAACAGGAGTTAAAATCCTTCGGCTTTTTATAACCCGGAACCACACCCAGACACAAAATATAATCCTTTAGGAAACACAAGTCTGGAGGAAGATTATAATAATAAATGATTATAGGCCATGCAGTCAAATTGCGGCGTCGGAATAGAGCAAAACTGTCTGTGGAAAGCCCCAATGGAAGGGGTCTGAAAAATAATGGTGTGCCAACTCCTCACCATTTACTATGACACATCTCTCTAGAAGTTGCCTGTATACCATTCCATCCATTACATCTGTTACAGATTCAGGTGTGTGGCGATGTTCAGAACTTCAATATTTCATCTTTTGAGTAAGCTCCGCATTTTTGAACATGGCCACCAATTGAGGAAATAATGGTATGTACACAAATTTCTGCCTGGGTCTCTTGTAATCATCATATCGCAATATTTTGCATCTTTCTAAGGATGTGTTTGGGCCAACAAAGCAACAACAGGATTGTGGACAACAATCATATACTGTATATGTTACAATAACACAATTTTCGGACCTTTCCTTCTTTTTCATTCTCCGCTTTAACCTTGTACACTTTAGCTTTCACACATGGTGCCACACAGCACTTCCCCTTTTGTTCAAACTCCTCTTTCTTGCGCCGCGTTGCCTTCTTCTTATTTTAGATACAACTCTCTCACACAGTGGAGCTGGTCATACAGGCTAGGCCCCATGACATCATCAGCCACTAAACTTTACCAACTGTACAGTACAGAAGTACAAACACTCTGTATTAGTATATATACCCCAATAAATCCAGGAGACTCCTCAGCGAGTCCTCCTGTTGTTAACCAACAAACTCTCTGCAGCCTAAGGGGTAACCACTCCCCATTCACTACCTTTATAGTGTGTTCCTGTGTGCGCCAGAGTAACTAACTCTTGGTTGTTACAGCCTCGTCATGTTGATGAATTGGAGATGGAAGAAGATGATGATGATTTCTCACAAGGCAGTCAGGATCATCATCAAGTGGAAGCAAATTAAACAAGTAGTAGGCAAACAAATGAATTTGAATAAACAGCTAATGTCACATGTGTTTATTAACAACTAGACGAAATAATTGTACAATCTGTACAATTGAAACATGGATGTCTACAAGAACAAAAACATAATGATAAGTACCAAGGACATATAATATTATATTACCCTAGAAATTTCCATTTTCAGTCCAACACCCTTTAAAAGTGAATTTACAGCCCACCAATTGTGGAAAAAAGACCTCTTATGCAAATGCCTTTGTGAGAACTTGACAACTATATTCCCCAGACATGCTATATATTTCATGAGGCATAATCAAGTCTCCATCTTCCAGGATACATGCACAGCAAGTGATAGTACACAACCTGCTGATTTCACGGCGGACACTATTGAGCTCTTAATTGGCAGCAGATATTATAGCCTTGGTAGTTATTTGCCTGTATAAGATGCCACTGCCATTTTTGCTCTGCACTAATAGCGACAGTTTGTATAGTATCCTGCAACTTGTACACAGTGTTTAGGCTTCTCTTGGCTTGATGAGAGTCCAATATTGCCTGTAACAAGAGTTACAAGCAAGTAACCATAATTCCCATATGATTTGAATGATACTCACCTGCCCAGTAAGGTCTTCAGCGACTTTGAGAAGCTCAAACAACAGACTCTCCTCCGTGTCAACATTATTACCACCTTCTTCACCAAACAAATGTCTTGATGGGACATTTGAAATAGGAGTTTTTGGAAGACATTTATAGGGATGTGTTGAGGAGATGGGGGATAGCAATGAAGGAATTGACTGTGCCCAACATTTCACCCTTGTAGTTTCAAGAGTGTGATGATTAGTATACTGACAAGACTCATATTGAGGGCTAGGTTGGTGAAGTTTTTCATGGCAGCCAGCGGGCATATGCATGTCCAATGGTGGTGACAAATTCATTACTGTTCAGTGGAGTGGGCTTACAGGCACTGACCAATGTGTGGGTTTGTTTTATGTAAATACAAGCTCAGGTGGGAACTTAATGTGTCTAACTGTTGGGGCTGACTCATATGCAACAGCAGTCACGTGTGCTTCCATATCAAATATTGATATGCATTGCCAGTATTGTAACCTACGGTCATACATGAACATGCATACCTCAGAATGGATTGAGCTCCCACCAACTACTTGCAAGCCTCTCTAGCATGTCTCTACAAAATCCTACTTTTGGGTATACACGTTCAACCACAGTTCTTCTCATTTGGCCGAATATGTGCCCAGTCACTGTTGGCGCCTACATGCAGTACGGGTGGTCTGACCCATTTGAGGAGAGCTGGTATGGTCGATGACTATGCAAAGTTGAATGAGGGTACATAAGGAAATAAATATGGTTTAGGTAAGTTACATGTTTTGACATATCCTGCCTTATTATCAACATGTACCACAGAGTATACAATGTTCCTCAAAATCCATATACATGGTGATTATTCTACCATTTGTAACTATATCACCTTCCAATTCATTCAAATTTGTGAAATAACTGTCCTTTTTATAATCTGCCTATCATCATTCCAGTGGCCTCTTGGCACTACTCCAATATCACCGCCAGGTATGCTCCCAAGTTCCAGACTTAGTCCATCATGCTAATATTAACCCAGCAAACATCACTCTTTTTCATAGAAGGTGAATATGTGCCACCTATTATCCACATCTGTCCCACATAGCATACTAAGTACATTTATGATCATGTTTCTTTTCATAAATATTCTCACATAGGTACATATCCCACTTCTTTGACGTCACAGCACTTCAATATTCATACCGCAGAGTCTCCTATGCTGCCCTATATCAGTACAATGGACCACCCAATTTTAACGACAACATCTACACATGGTAATTTTGCAATAAAGCTATCTTCAAACACATCTTACCTCAATATACACACCCAACTTTTTTGACAACATAGCACTTCAATATCACTGCTAAGGTAGTATACAATGTACCATGAAGACTCCTATGTTGTCCCATATCGGTATGATGGACCACCTTCATGCAGGTTTGCACGGATTTTAACATGCTAATGGACATCTACAGTTTTTACTCTGTTTCATAATGTCCATTGGCACACATTCATTTTGTATTGACACGGTATCTTCACACTGCCATTACACATGCTCTAAGCTCCTTGGCTTCTCCCCTGTCCTTGCCGAGGATGCAAGGCTATCTCTTTTCACGCAGTGTTCTACAGCTCATTCTCAAGGATAGCTAAGTCATGTTGAATCCATGTGCTTGTCACCCATCCATACATTTAGACAGATAAAACAGTGAGTGCATTTTATCAACCTATCAACCCACCCACCATTTTTACTATGTACACAGCTATATTGAAAACACTACTATGACTATTGTTGGTCATGGGGGTGTTCATACGCCCCACAGCACATGACTCTTTGTCTCTACAACCTCAATCTGTGGTGCTGCTAAGAAGCTTGCTTACCTAATAGCTGGCATTTGACACTGGCCGCTCATCCTCGTCGCCTACCACATAACTTGAACCTGGAGCACAATAACAGCAGCAGCATGGATTTAGGTGAATTGACTCAACTTTTAGGCACTACCATCAATCATGAAGATATGTTGGCATCTATTGAAGCAGAAAATTGGCTATGGGGTGACAACATTAATTATGTGGCGGATTTAAAGACTTTACCGTACGTATTTGATATTTTGGCTTTCTAACCTTGCACTTTCAGACAATGGAATTGAGTCTGAACACTTCTAGCTACTCTGGATTGCGTGTTACACAATATATGAGCCTAATCCACATAATCTCAGCCAATTGCTTCAGGTTGCAATATATCTCAGCAACTTTGTCCGTGCCTGCATTGTTTAGGGCTTGAAGAAGATGATTGTGAAGAATCCAACTTCAGCATTAGCCACTTCAGTCACCCCCTAGTCCTTGGCTACTAGCTGTAATATCTTCTGTATTGCTATGTGGCTAATCGCCCTGAAATACAAGGGATGTCCCATGGGACAGTCCCACTAATGTCACATGTAACAGGTGTCAGGGGTCCACATATCTAGAGGATTGTGAAATGGAAACTGTTTATATTAGGCTTTACTATTTGGTCACCCATTTCAGATGCTGTCATGTCACGACTTAGTGCAGATAGTAATACAACAGAACTGGGAATTATATTAAACCCAAATGGCAAAAATAAAATTCAAAAATAAATAAGCTAACTATGCCTACAAATTTGCTACTAACATTGATGTAGTTGGGATACTGAGCCAGATGGTTAGCTGACTAAATAGAACATCATAAAACCCATTGCCCTTTCAGGTTCTGGTTTACCCCATAGCGTACTATAATAAGCTGAGTTCCAGCCAAGGGCTTAACCTGGGATAACTCCCATAAATGGTAACTCACATATATTTAGAACCCCCCTCCCCCCCCCTTCTCCTCTGCCAGCCCAGAGGCACCACTGGCTAATCTATTGCTAGCAAGCTATGGCTTGAAACAAACAAGCCGTGGCACCAATTAATGGTGCCAATTTAGGACCTAGAATGGACAAGATAGGCTAGAAGTTTATCAATATTAATCCTATGGGTCTTAGAATTTTGCTTTTTTGTTTTGTATTAATTGACCAAAGATTGAAAAATAATTGTGAAGAGGACTTGAGGCCAGCTTACATAGTGATCCCTTGTTTTCAGATCCTGAGCATTGAGAAATTAGGGGATATATGCCCAACATTGCCATATTTCTGCCTTATGGCCTCACAGCCTCATGTAACTTTTGTTCATACCAGTTCATAAATGTTTTTTGTCCTCTGTGTATTCCATCATACTGTTATTTCTTATTACTGTTTTTGACTGTTGTATTAGGTGAAATCTGGCATCCTAGGCATGCCCCAAAGGGAAATAATATTATATGAGGCCCAAATCAAATGTAATACCCTGAAATTTTTAAGATGACCAATCCTTGGCAAGCCTGCTCTGTATTTTGTAGACAGGTGAGTATTGTTTTGTGATGGGTGGGATGTCCCATGTCTGGCATTACAACTCTTCAAGCCTTGGAGAAAATTTGAGATAAATGAGTGGTATGATGTAAGGCTCATAAGACTTCAAGTGGAAATAAGTAGCAATGAGACCTTTTGATATCAGCCTGCCCACTGCCAAACCTTTTTGTAGAATTGCAGGAAGTATGGGATAAGGTGGGTGAGCAAGTCATATTCTGGCACACACAGGAAAGATAAAAACTTTGCTCATGTAGTGGGCTGGGACATCCCGTTAAGCACACCTGGGATGTCCCATGTAATAAGCTGGGGCATCCCATTAAGCACCTGGGACGTTGTCATGCACCAAAGTTAATTGGTAGCATGGACAGGTGTCAATAACGAAGCAAATATTCAAAAAGACTCGCCTTTGCGCCACACAGGCACAGTGCTACGTGAAATAGCAATCCAGTCACGCTCACCTTTGCTTTTCCATTCGGTACTTTCCGCATTTTGGCATTTTGGCAAATTTTTGCGTCGCCACTGGCTACACATTGCACTGCGCCCTCATTTTTGTCGTTTCCTTCACTTCCCTTCCTTTGCCTAGCCCCACCATGGGCCCCTTCCTTTCCTTTTTATTCTCACCTGACAGTCGTTTCTGGATCCCCATTCTAATCCACCTTTTTGTCACCTCCACCCTCCTCCTCCTTATCTTATTTGCACCCCCACCATTTCTGATGTCACCACTTCCTATCCGCTTCCGTTGCCAATCCGTCGACTACCACGTGCCACTGCTGATATCAGCAAAGCCCCGGTGGCCGGTTCAAATAGGGCAACAGGTCCATCTTTATGACATTGATCTACCATTATATACTATCAAAACATTGGTTGCTCGTCTTGCCTGGTTGGAGCGTGGGTGGGTAGTTTTTGAGCTGGAGAAGGTTCATCCCCTTGCGTCGCCCATGTTTATTGCTGTCCCATTCACTTGGGTACACTTATCTTTTGTCCATCGTCTTTGCTACAGCTACACCTACCACATGCTGCCTGGGACTCACTTGTTCCAAATTGGGACTACTCCTCTCCCTCCCTCGTTTGACCAGGTGGTCCAACACAACCAGTCCATTAGTGAGGCCATGGAACTGTCGGATTTGGACTAGGTGGTGGACAGGTGGCTCCAGTTTCTTTTTTTCAGCAGAACATTCATTTACAGTGCAATTATTTTTGATTTTTGAATCATTTTTATGGACACATATTTTTTAGAATGCCTGACTGACAATAAAGGACCTGTGTTGATACTGATAGTGTTTTGCCTTGCCCTTTTTTTACCTGTATCTTCCCATGACACCATGATTTTCCTGCTCTCTTTTTGCTATTGGACTTTACTTTATGGCTGTACAATCCTGTGACATTACTCACAGCATTCATTGTTCTATCCCTTTCTTTTCCTTTTTTTGACAATTTTATCCTGTACTACCTACGCAGGATTTGTCAGCGTACATTCCTTCCTTCATGTTTCTTCTCATTCTTTTTGCACAGCTATACTGTGCATAGCATAGCCTACTTTTCTTTTACTATATAAACCCCTGTATTTGACCTTGTAAAGAACAATCTTCTCTAATTTCAAGTTCACTACTCTGCTGCTTGTGATCCAGTGTGGTCACAACACTTCCCACTGCTACCACTGTCAACTGCTGTCATTGTCACTTCCCACTTTTGAAGTCATTGTCATCCCTTTCAATTAGAGTCCTTCTGAGCACTACAGTTTGTGCGTCAGGAGCCTGCTATCACTGGGAACCTCATCATATTGTTGTTCTCAAACCTACCTTGTGCTACGATTAGCAAGGTAGTGCTCGTCTATACTTGCCACAAAGCCCCTATCTCTCTATATTCCAACTATCCCTCCTCCTCAAAACCCACACCCATACATCTCTGGGTTTTACTTTGAAGGACCATTATATGTACCACCCTACAAACAACCAGACCACTCCACTATTCTAGGAGGCAAAGCCCATAAACAAGTTCCATAGAATCTGGGAGGATTGTGTGTTAGTTTGTTTTTGTGTGTGGTTTTTCTAACAACAGTTCTCATCATCGACACCGGAAATTGACTGGAAGACAGTGATTAAACATCCCAATAAAGAATTATTGAAGAGTCCATTCAAAAGGATTATTGGCCACCTCCTGGATATAAAACTCATATGCCTTTCCCTTCAGGAATATAGATAGCATGTATACCCGGTTGGCATGAGGGACCTGTCCTTCAGTAACATAGGCTGTGGCTGCAGTGACAAAGCAATGAAATTCTCGCAAGTGCAGTTTTCTGTCATATGGAGGTGGCTCAGTTGGCTTTAATATCTGCCTTCTCATTCTTTTGCGCTGGGCATGTTTGGTTCTTGTTCCTTTCTTATGGCCCAATGATGAAGTTCTGGAGTCTTCATCAGAAGATGATTCACTCAAGTCTCCATGAGAGCTTGAGTCAGATTCACTCAAAGAGCTCCCCAACTCTGAGGGTTTGTTTCCTTTTAGTTTTATGTGCCCCAGCAATCTGCGTAGATAGCTAGCCGCGGGTATCTGATTGCTGGGATTCAATTTATGCGGTGTACAAAGAGTCTGCTGTCCTTTTGTTGGTTTTACCATTTGTTCAACAAGTCTAGCTACTGGGTTTTCTCTATCAAGGACTGAGGCATCTGGCTGCGCTGATTTATTTTTCTTTAGTTCTTTTGCCAGTTTGGCTTTGAGTTTAGGAAGTTCTTCCTTAGCTTTTTCAACTTCGAACTTATGGGTATTTCACAGATTAATGTTTCATTTCTCCCCAGTGCTAGCTTTCTGCGACTGGGGTTCCTTGGAGGAGGGATATTTGGTTTGTCCCTTTCCGCTTACTTTCTCCTGGGCCCAATACTGAGCTTCTTTCCAGGTATAAAAGGCCTTTTTCTGTTTGTCTATGTCCATATTAGACTCATTCAAAAGGTTTCCCCAATTACTTGGGTCAGGGCCCTTCCCTTTAGGCTTAGACGGTCCTTTATGCCTATTGGACCCTTCCTCAGGGTCATTCAAGGTATGTTCTTATTCACGTTGTTTCAGAATCTTAACTAATTGCTCACTTGTGAGCATTAATTCAGCTTGCCAGACCAGTCTCTCCTGGTCATTACTTAGAACCAATTGTTGCCCGCATCCGAGCATCATTCTTTGGGGTGCATCCATATGTGGTGGTATACTTCTATTATTTTCTATGCTAGCGGGACTGATAGGAGTCTCGTAGATAATTGGAACCTCCTTGGTATCCTCGCCTGGACAACCTGAGGGACTTCTCATTGTGGTGCTTGAGTAATTTACAAGTGTACCAGCAATGGACAAGGGCCAAGGGACTCCGGGTCCCTGGAGATTATCTAGCTGAGAGGGGGAACTGTTAATATGGCAAGGTAGAGATGACTAGAGATGACTCAGTACTGGCTTTAGGCCAGGCGACAACCATTGGGCGGCTGCACTGACATAGATTGTACATGCCTTTGTAGTGAGTGCTTATTGTCATTTTCTTGTTCCTTGATTGATGGTAGTTGTCCGGGTATTTGGGTGATCATTCCAAGGCCAGATGACATGTATGAAGAGTAGTTGTAGGCTGAGTTGTGAAAAAAGATGTAACGGTCACGGAGAACATCACACAAGAAGATAAAGGTTTGAGAGAGCTCTTGAGCGGACTGGAATGTCACAGTGGTAAGTCTACTATTAATTCTGGGAACACTACCGTCTAACTACAAACAGGAAAGTTTTATATACGGATTCAGAGCTAAGCTGGTAGAGTACAAGTAAAGACCGATACAAGCTAAGGAGTGTAGAAATTGGTGACGGCTAAGTGAGATATAAACAAGAGTATGCCTAGTTTGCAAATAGCTGAGTGGCTGAGTCCTTGGTGTGATGGGTCACGTCTGTTACACATGCCCAGTCGGAAACGACAAAATATATACTGAATCACATCAAATTTCGTTGGATATTTGATGTGATTAGACACAAGCCCTAACTTTACCGTTTTAATTAGATTTTTTTTGAATGTTAAAGGTTCATATCTAACCACAAGCAGTAGTACAGAAATCATTCAATTTAGTTAGATGGCTCTTTATAATCTGCTTCACAAATATACAGAATATTTGAATCACAGCAAATCAAATTGAATTAAAACAAATGGTAGCAAATATGAACAATATGTAGCAATGAAAGCAAATGAGAGGGGGGGACACAACATATACATATAAGCTATCCGGCTCCCTGCAAAAATTGCCCTCATCAATCCACCAAAATGGCCCTTTTGGCACTGCTATTTCACTTTGAAAGCCTTAGCTGGAAGTTTCTAGGTAGATAGTTAGACACAATGCCTCAAAAATAATTGTGTACGCACATTGCAGCCTCAGAGGTGACCTTCTGTTTGAAGTATCAGTTAAAAAGAGGCCATAAACAAAAGCCTACCTCATTAAATGCGCTTCAAAAGGAAGGGCTATTGATTTGGCCTCGAGTCTTTGACTTTCCTGTGGCCACTTGTAGTAGCACAAACAATATGTTAGCGGTAATGAAAGGACATCTGAAAAATATTTACTTACCTTGGTGTTCACTTTAAGTTAGCCGTGTTGCTCCTCACAGATTTGCACTATCCATCCAAATCCCTTGTTAAGTGAGTACAGACCTGTCCAATACATGGGAAATACCAAAGTTAGTAAAGATTGTGGTCGAGATGGTGGTACAGAACAAAGGAAGGATGGAATCAAAAATGGTGGAAAATGTGACCAAATATATGGGCACGTGATTATGCAAGCAGTGAATGTTGGAATAGTCAAGGTCAAAGCCTGTTAGCCTTGTTAGATAACATACATCACGAGTTGACATTAGTACAAAGGGCTGGTAGCTCAGTTGGTTAGAGCACCACCATATATAGGCAGAGGTCCTGGGCTTAATCCCCGGCTGGTCTACTTTGTTTTTATGCACTCCCTGTGGTCAGGTGGCTATGTGAGGTCACATGAATCCAGTAGTGCATGCATGATTGCATTGCACAGTGGTGCATGTGTGCATGAATGTGCGGCACTGTAGTACATTGCTTTGTGTACAAATGCACAAGATCACACCCAATTTCAACACTCTGTTGATTCAAGTTGCATCCTAAAACCGTGAGAAATTTTTATGATTAGATTAGATTCAATGTAAATGGTCTGATTCCACAGGATTCTATCTAATTTGGCATATATTTTGTCATTTCCAATTGGGTTTCAGGCTTGAGCCATATTGAGCTATACTGAGAAATGAGGTCCAACCCGTGGCTCTGCTACTGTGGTGCGATGTTTTTGCTATATGAAAATAATAATAATAATCACTGTTAAGTGATCAAAATGTTAAGTCAGTGGAGTCGTGTTGCCTGTAAAGTATATTAAGTCTTTGAATCCTACAATGCATGTTTGGCTTGCTGTTCTGTCATTGAATGTTCTTATAAGCATGCCCTAAACTTGTGCACAGTATACTGAATTCAAGCAGATGATTTACAACATCAACACATATTGTAATATAAGAAATCTGTGGTATTATTTTGATAAATTGATGAGAAATAAAAAAAGAGACTCCAGAAATGGTAAAGGATAATAATATGATCTGATAACAAAACACTCTAGTAAAAAATGTAAGAATTTGGGAACGATTTACTTGCCAGTCACGGATAAAGCCAGTCAGAATTTTAGGATACACTACATTGACAGTGCGTCTGCCATCTCAACCATGCAAAAATAGCACTTTAATTCTCTCTCCTGAAGTGCAGTGAGACAATGCAACATAAAATTGCCCATGTGAAAACACTGGAACATGTAAATCCAGCCCAACCTGTGTCACTGATTGACCTTGAGATTTGTTAATGGTCATGGCAAAGGCAACACGGGCAGGGAAATGACAAAGTGATAGTTAATGTAAGGCATGGAATAAAAGCTATCTTTCCTGCATGTTTTCCTCCCAAAGCACGGCACTTCAATACTCTTCTCTTCATCTCTATCAAAATCATGCGTGTTCCATTACAGAGTCCATTTAGGGGATCAACATTGCGGAGGAGCATAAGTGGACATCTAACTTTAACTTGGAGGTGCACTTCAGGAAGGCCAGATACTTGCAAGGAGTTCAAGAATGACATAGGATAATGTTCATACCCCTTTCCAACCACTTTATCAATTGACAGAGCTACAAACTCTTCTCCAGGGAATTTTGTGAGGATTGCTGAATTAAGGTCACTAACAGCATCATTTTTTGCGGAGAGGATGATGCGGTGGAGGAAATGATGGTCATCTTGGTCTCCATTTGAAATTCTAGGATAGGTAGTGTCGCCTAATAAGTCTATGGTGTTTTCTGGCATAAGCATGTTGGTGGGGAGCTCAATAGTTCTATCTCCTGCAATTCCACAACCACCACCAACATCCAGGAGCCAGCTAGCAAAGGCTTCACTTTCTGGAGTACAGTCCAGGTGCATGTTCTGTGTGAGATAGCAGACATGGATATTTGTCCACAGTTGTGACTTTCTAAGAGAGGCAGAAATAATATGTTGCCTTGACCTTCTTGGAACAACAAGTGTTGTTTGGCGGGAGTCCCCTTCAAAGACCATTGTAATACCTCTAAATGGAAGCTGATTATCCAAAATATCCCGCAATGTATGATCCAATGCTTCAATTCCATGATGGTGTTGCATCAGTGCTTCAAGAGCTTTGTTTGGTTGAGTTATGTGACATTGTGCCACAGGCGTGAGTTTTGTGTTAGTTTTGGTGATTCTGCACCTTTGTGCTACCTATGTACTTTCATTCCTTTCTCTATCTATTCTTCTATCATTCATTATTGATTGTGTTCTCTATTATTTCGCCTTTGTGGCTGCTTTGTTTACCTTTGTTTACAAAACTTCGGACAGTACTGCAGAGTCCAATGCTTCCTATTCTCTAGTTACTCACATTGGACTCTAGATACTGTATACCTGTCATACTCTCTAATAATATAGTTACTCACATTGGACTCTAGTTTCAGTCCCTGATTGCTCTCAGCAAGTGGCTAGACACTTCCTTCAAGCTTTGTTCTTAATATTTTGGTATCCACTATATCATAGTAAAAACAATTAAGTGTGAGAATTTTCAATATGGCCACAATTTTCACTACAATTGTTGAATGTTCTTATAAGCATGAGAGTTTTTCAGTGTGGCTATGATTTTCACTGCATTCACTACTACTATACTGCTGCTCCTGTTGCTGCTCCTGTGTTGCCACAAAAACCATGTGAGCAAAACTAAGTGAAATAATTGATGCAATATGGCTTGCAGGCAGTATTTGGGACCACTGTCCCCTTCATTTTAGATAACCGGTTGTGTGCTTTGGGAGGCCAGGCAAGATGACCGCTGGAGTCAGTATTATTTCACAAAGTCCTACCAGTAGCATCAATATTTTGTGACTTTCCAGTATTTCAAAGGGGCCGGTGTACTTTGGGAGGGCTGGATTCTCTGTTAATAAGTACACTAGAGTTTTTTCTGTCAGAATGTCCTCCACTTGTTTTTGCCTATTGGTGTGATGAGCTTAGATGATCCAACTTTCAATAATTGCATCATGCAATACATGGTGTTACAATAGACACACCAGCACCTACTTTTACGCTTTACTTTTACTTTTTATTTTTCAAGTTATATAACTGCTTCACATGATTGATCTTGTGACACATCACCTGATCAATGTCTAGACCCACTTTGTTGACTCATATACAAGCCCTATTAACCAACACTGTCTTGAGGTGATCTCTCTGTTAATATTGGTGTAGTATTAAAAGGGGAACAAAGGTGTAACCCTGTAGCGGCACTAGAAAGCATTAGCACTCTCCTGGATCACATTTTGGACATAATTTGGACCCTATTTGGACCAAACCTTGTGCTTTTGGACCCTTTCCATATCCCCAATCTACTGCCTCAGCATTGTATCTGCTCGCCTTCTACTGTTGTTTATTGTTTTTTCCACAGTTTCTTTGCCTATAGTTGTCTCCCACATTATTTATCTTTACTCTATTGTCTTATACAGCATCCATCATGTCTGACTCTAATCCCAAGTTCAATTCCTTATCTGGCACTAATTACTCTCAGTGGAATGGTGAAATGCAAATTTGCTTGATGACCAAGGGACTGTGGAGGCTTGTCTCTGGTGCTGAATAGCGCCCTGTGACTGACTTTGAAGCACAAGAAATATGAGAGTTGAGAGCTGAAAAGGCTGCTGGTGCATTATAATTTAATGTCACCAAAGAGCAGTGTATCTATTTTGATGGCATTATTCATGATCCTGTCAAGATCTGGGAAAAACCAGCCGCTGTGCACATTATTAAAAAGCCTGGGACAAGATTCAATGCCTATGACAACTTCTTCTCCATCAGAGGAGGATGAATCCATGCAGTTTTAAGACCAGAATTGACGAACACAGCATCTGATTCAAAATCTCCATCCTACTGGCTTCACATTAGCTAAATTGGACAATGGGCTGACATGCATAGCCATAATTAGGGTGCTTGCTGATCAGTATGTCCACTTCACTTTGTTTTTACTGCTTCTGTGCACTTTAGATAAAACCCAGCTTAGGAATGCTTTCCATGCTGAAGAGATCAATTGTTGTCATTGTGCTAAAATTGATTTTGTCTTGCATTTTTTGCCTATCACTGTCAATAGTGCCTGCACTCATCCTAACTGCTATCATTGCAATCAATCCACCACCTTTACTCGTGTTTAATGTGATTTCTGTGGTTTACTTAGTTATACCCAGGATAAATGCCATAAATATATTGCTAGTTGCAAAAAGGCGGTAGAGGGTGTTCAGAATTGCTTCAAGCACAAAAATAAAGCTCAGGCAGGCTCCAGATATGCTTAGTATAACTTTTAGCAGCCAAAATCTTTACCCAACAATGCCAATTCCTCTACTATTGTTACAATAGGCACCCCAGTACCTATTTTACATTTTACATTTTACATTTTCTGTACTTTTACTTTTCATTTTCTAAGTGATGTGACTAATCACGAGACTATTGATTTTACAGTGACTCCAAAAACCCTTTCCATGTCGACTCTGGGTGTCATTCATGAAGCATACCATCAAACAGCTTGAGTATTACATTTAGCTTTGGTGTAATTATAAATAATACATACTCTTGGCTATAAAATTGTCCCATAGGTCATGTGATTTGGTTCACATGCTATGGAGATATGGTTGATTCAAAACAGAAACACCATGGAAAGTGTTACAATAACATATTTTTGGACCTTTTATTTTTCATACTCCTCTTTAACCTTTTACTATAGTTTTCACACTCCGAGCCATGCGGCACTTTCCCTTTGTTCAAACTCCACTTTCTCGTGCTGCACTGCCTTTTTTTCTATTTTAGATACAAGTCTCTCACGCAGTGGAGCTGGTCACACGGGCTGTGCCCTCTGACATCATCAGCCACTGCCTTCATCAACTATATAGTACATATGTATCCTCACAACTAACTTGTTGAAGCTTAAAGGGTAACCACTCCCTCATCATCATCTCTATAGTTGGTTCTAGTTGTGCGCCAGAGTAACTAACTCTTGGTTGTTACAGAAAGGGTTTTTTCACTTTTGAACTGATGACTAGAACCTTAGTTAAAACATTGAATATTTGCCATTATATGTTAGTACAAACAAAGATATATATACAAATCGTATGTCTGAGCTTAAAATAGTTCACACACTTCTGATTCTTAACCACCATCATGGTCAAATCCCTCCCTTTTACTCAAAAAAGCTCTGTCCTTTCATTATTTGATGCTGGCTACTCTGGTGAAGCCATTGCCAAGCAGACTGGTGTTAGCCCATCTACTATATCCAAACTTCACTCCAAAGAGTGCTTTACCCTGCCTAAAGCTATTAGAGGTCGTCCTTCCAAGCTTTCACCTACTAATATCTGACATGCCCAACATCTTATTATCTCTGACAAAGCTGAAAATCTGTTAAAGTGACCAAAGCCCTTATCAGCATCATCAAGCAGCCCCTCTCATCCAATACTGTTTGTCTTCATTTGAAGAAATCTAGTATGAAGGATGTGGTAAAGTCCAAACACCCCCTTCTCTCTACTAGGCATCACAAAGCTCATTTGGATTTTTGCCTATGCTCACAAGGATTGGACTCTGGAGGACTGGAAAAGAGTAATATGATATGTTGAGACTAAAATCAATCCCATAGGGTCAGATGGACACAAATGGGCATGGAAATAAGCAGATAAGGGGCATAGTAATAGGCCAGTAGATGGAACCCTCAAGTTTGGAGGAGGTTCCTTAATGATGTGGGGCTGTATGATTTGGAAAGTAGTTAGATTTTTGGATTTTCTACCAAGATTCATAGTAGAATGGATGGGGACATTTACCCTCAGATTTTGAAGGATGAGCTCCAGCAAGCCCTAGAGTATTATAGTCTCAATCCTTCTAAAAGTATCTTTTAATAGGATAATGACCCCAAGCACACCTGCAGTAAGGTCAAGGACTGGCTAGAGGAACAAGCATTCAACACTATGGTTTGGCCTGCACAATCCCCTGACCTAAATCCTATTGAACATCTCAAGAGGAAGCTTTCAGGGTATGAAAACCTCTTCAATGTGATTCATGAATTGTTGGAAAGGACTTAAGTGGAGTAGAAAAAGATACCAGTTGAGGAGTGCCAGAAATTGGTTGAAAGTATGCCTAGAAGGATTCAGGCAGTGTTTAGGGCAAAGGGAGGCTATAAAAAGTACTGATAATATCTAAATACCCTTTTCAATTCAAAAGTGAAAAACCCATTCCATAGTGTTGCTGTTTTAAATCAACCATATCTCCATAGCATGTGAACCAAATCACATAACCTATGGGGCAATTTAATAGCCAAGAGTATGTATTATTGTATTATCTATAACTCCACCAAAGCTAAATGTAATACTCTAGCTGTTTGATGGTATGCTTCATGAATGACACCCAGAGTCGACATGGAAAGGGTTTTTGGAGTCACTGTACTTTACTTTTCAGACTTTTCATAGTCACAACGCCAATCATGTTATGCATCACCTGACCAGTGTCTAGACTCACCATGTGGCTGGTCACATGCTGGATATTGGACTTTAAACTTTATTTACCAACTGTATAATACCTCATGTATTGTAGTACATATACTAGAGCAATGTATGGGAAAGGACTCAACAAGTCCTCTCCTACTCTATAGTGACAAAGCTGCCCCATCAAGTCCAGCAATCCCCCCCAACCTGCCTGTTGGATATAGCCTTGTTCAAGATCCTGCCACAGGCTCATGATCTTGGCGCGAGTCCATGATTGTGATGGTGTTTTGTCTTCATTGTCCGGCTCCACACTAATCATGTCCTCTTCACTAGCCATTGACCCTCAGACCTCAACCTCAGCAACAATCTCTCTATCATCAAGTGCAAACTCTTCATCAATCAACCTCTCTGCAGCTGGATTGACGAATTCATTGACTGTCAGAGGCTTGCCAAAGATGCGGTTTCAAGATTTGAGTTCCCCAATTGCATTTTCTAGCTGATCTTTAATATTACTGAGCTGCAGCAGCAGTTTTGGAAGTGCAGGTATTTGTATCTTGAGGCCTGTTTGACTGGCAGCTGCATTTGCAAGACTTTGAACTGCGGCAATCACAGCTTCTGTGTCACCTTCAGCATCCATAACATTGTTCAATGCTGGCCTCCAGTCTCTATCTGTATATCGCCCAGATAAGGCCTGTTTGATGCAAACTTTAGCAATTGGTAATGTCATAGAGTCACTGACTGCAAATTCTCGCATAACACCCCACGCAATAGGATTTGCGTGTGCTTGTACATTATTGTATGGGATAGTTGTTGGAATGGAGGGATTTCTGTGCAAAGAAAAGTTAAAACTTGAAAACGAGAGCAATTAAAATCAGATCTTGACATACGGTTGAATTTGACTGTAATCCCAGCAGTGATGGATAGTAGTCGATGTAACTGCTTCCCAAGCAGCCTTTGCCATCAAAATACCTGCAAGTAAATTGATTGAATAAATGTCCCTCTCGCCAGCTTCATCAAGGTCAAGTTCTTTTGTGCAGTAAGTCTTCCTATATCCAGCCTTGAAGCAGCGGATGATGCCTGCATCACATGGCTGCACAAACAAAGTCATATTTGCTTTGAAAACCTCCATCAAAATGCTTCATCCATCTGTATACTGCAATTAGCACTCTCATGACACTAAATGTGGGCATGTCTTACTCTTCAAACAGTGCAGTAGTCATCCAGGCCTTCTTATTATTCCGGTAATAAATCCCAAGCTGCTCTGGTGATTGCTTTTTAAAGCAGTATGGCCTTCTTGACTTCCCAATGTAAATGGGCTCAAACTTCTCGCTCCCATCTGCATTGCATGCAATTACTTGACCCATTTATAGTAACTACATGGTCATTGTAGGAGGCTGAAAACATGTTCCTTGAGGGTTTTTGAAGCTGTTGATAGCATTTTGCGATGAATTTTGTATAGCGTATTTTCAATCTAGAGTGAGGAAAATAAAATGGAATGAAACAGTAACATATGTAGTAGCAAATGTAAGAACCTGAAATGTGAATATGCCTTCATCAAAATAATGTACTGTATGGTGCCTGCCTCTTAGATGTGCCAAAATGTATGAGAAAAAGGTCTATAACTGAAAAAAGAAAAATATACTGTAGCATTCCCTGCAGAACTTGAGAAACTGATTGGAACTGACATCCATTTAATTTTCACAATATGCAGTCAGTGGGTTGTGATGTGACTTACCAATGAAAAGTCCTCAACAAATATTTTTGTACTGGCATTGTAATTCTCTTGTATGTAAATGTAGCTGTTATATATATGTACACTACCTTCCCTTCTCCTCATTATTTCATTGCTTCATTGTGCCCGGTACTACTGAATCAACAGCAGCATGAATCCTGGAGGCTACAGCAGCAGCAGTGGTTTTTCTTGATGGTAATATTATATTGGTTATTTCAATATTATTGAAGACACTGATAGCAACCATGTGCAAGCCAGCCAGCCTGTCAGTCTGGTATAAGGAAATTATTGAAACAGTAGATATGGGCCACATAAACAACTTACCTTTTTATTTCTAGTAGTACACTAGGGTAGTTATTAGTATAGTAACCTTGCTGAAAATATATGTCACTTACAGTTGATAAGATTTTGAAATTGCCAGGATGACAAAAAAAAACCATTGTAGGTAAGCCTGAAATATCTAATTCCAGCAACCAAACCACTGCTAATCAAGAAAGTAGCATTTACACAGGTGGTGGCTGCACAAATAGCCATGCAAGCCATGTCAACAGCAAAATACTGAAGTTTGCAGCTCATTTGATCTGTTGCAAACATTGTAATATTGTTGCAAGTGACTTTTGGTGTGGATGGCAGATGGTCGATCATGGTGATCATTGCAACAGTATTTTTGGCATTTACTTCCATTGTTATTTTCCTTTGTTTTTTCTTTTATTTTGGACTTTGACTTTTAAAAGTCATGTGACTGATCACATAACACATCACCTGACTGGTGTCTAGACTTGATACATGACAGGTGACATGCTATGACATCAGACACTTTACTTATTAGTATACATACCCTTGCAATTCTTGGAAACTCCTCAGTGAGTCCTCCCGTTGAATACCATCAATCAACTAGCTCCTACTTTTGAGTCTACCAACCCACTTTTACCATCACTACTTCTTTTGAGTGCCTTGCTGTGTGCACCAAAGTATAACAATTTTGGGGCATTGTCACACTAGGACTCGCTCTCATCACTCTCATGCACACTATGCAAACCCAGACCACAGGGTTAAGTGGAATTACCATTTACATGTGGACCTCAGTGTTAAAAGTTGTTCTTGAAGAAAATCTTTTTGACTATACATCCACTTCAGTCACCCCCCAGTCCCTGGCTACTAGCTGTAATATCTTTTATATTGCTATATAGCTAATAGCCCTGAAATCCAAGTGATATCCCATATTTGGGACAATCCCAGTGACAAAAGCCCAAATACAAATACACTGGGACATCCCAGTAATATCACATATAACAGGTGTTAGGGGTCCATATGTATATAATTGTGAAATAGAAACCACTTATATCATAGCTGCTTATGTTTTCACCTCATTCAGATATTGTTATGCACAGCATGTAATGGTGTATAGATATTAATGTAACACAATCAGAATTCTTTGATTACAGCCAAAAGGGGGCAGTAAAATTCAAAAATAGATGGGCCAAATCAGACCACATACAGTGACTCTAAAACCGTTGCAATATTTGGCCTAAACACGGTGTGCAAAGTGCACCACCAACAGGCATGGGAATTTTGCTCAGCTCCAATGGGGTTGACAAAAGTACTTGGTCTTGGCTACAAAACAGTTCTTGGGTCATGTGATTTGGCCCAGTGGTGTGAATATATGTCCATTTCAAAACAGTAATACCATTGCAACAGTTTTTTCACTTTTGAGTTGGAAGCAGAGATCACAGTAATATCATAGAATATTTGCTTTTTTTTGGTCCTAAAAATCAAAAATACAGATATAAACATTGTATGTGAGTTTAAAAAAGTTCACATGCTTCTTTATTCTCAATCAAAATCCCTCTCAGCAAGACAATGACCCCGAGCATACCTGCAAAAAGGTCAAGGAGTGGCTAGATGAGGAGGAGTTTAGAACTATGGTGTGGCCTGCACAGTCTCCTGACCTTAATTCTATTGAACATGGGTGGGGTTGTCTCAAGAGGAAGCTTGCAGAGTATAAACACCCTCCTAATGGGATGGAGGAGTTGTGGAAGAGGATTCAAGTGGAGTGGGAGAAGTTAGCAGTTGCAGAGTGTCACAACTTAATTGAAAGCATGCCTATGAGGATTCAGGCAGTGCTCAAGGCAAAAAGAGGCTATACCAAGTACTGATATTCCCTAGATATCTCCCTTGATACCTAAAGTGAAATAACTGTTGCAATGATATTACTGTTTTGAAATGGACATATCTTCACAGTCACTGGGCCAAATCACATGACCCAGGAACCATTTTGTAGCCAAGACCAAGTACGTCTGTCGACACCACCAGAGCTGAGCGAGATTCCCACACTTGTTGGCGGTGCACTTCATGCACCACATTTAGCTCAAACATTGCAACGGTTTTTGGAGTCACTATACAATGAAATTCAAAAACTGTAAAGCTTTCTTTTGAAAGTTAGGGGTGTCTCAATGTTGACATTATTGATTCACTCTGGGTTATCACACACTTCCTCAATTCACACAGTACCAAATTTAACCTTGGTTATATTCAATGGTATGTAAAAGAGTTTGTGATTCAATTGCCTTAATTGTACGGTATGATTATCAAATCTAATCTATGCCTTACAGCAGGGCACCATACTAGGAAAGTGTATTAAAACCCTTGTATCAACAATTGCCCACCTCAGAGTTTCACCCACAACATCTGAGGTGAGGATCTTATCCCTTCTTTGTTTTTAGTGATGTACTTACTTTGTACGTAGCATTTGGTTTATATTAGGTACACAAATACATTTTCAAAGCTTTGCCCATAAAGTCTGAGTATTTGGTTTATATTAAATCTCTTTGAAATAGTCGTTGGAATTGTCAAGGTCAAAGCCTGGGCCTTGTTAGACAACATTGTGCAATTGAGTGTTGGTATCCAAGGGCTGGTAGGTTGGTTAGAGCACCACCATATATAGGCAGAGGTCCTAGGTTCAATCCCCGGCTGGTCCAATTTGCTTTTCTGTACTCTCTGAGTCCACTGCGGATTATTAAAATAGTAGCCTGTATCCTGTTTGGGTCCATGTTGGCAATGTTGTGTTGTGCAAGTTAGATAGTCTGATGAAGAATCTGATTTGGATGTGGTGGCGGTTAGTACAGTTTTGATGGGTTGTTGATTTTGGCAGGTACAGCTTCTTGTTGCAAGCAACATGGGTACAGATGGAAGGCGGGACAGTTTGGTGGATTTAGATTGTGATTAGCAATTCCAAAAAAAAAGGTGTAAGGCCATCATGAGGTGTAGAAACATTGAGTTATGCGGAGAGCGGCAGAATTGGAATCAGGATGTAATAGGAATTGGGAGAAAGGGAGAAATGGCTAGTCTACTAAACAGAGCAGCGAACAACAGGATTATATAGTAGTTAGTAAATGATTCCAATATACGGCACAATGATGCAATGTGGTGATGTCATTGTGAAAAACTAGTTAGCTTACACAAAGAGCTGTCAAGGGTGCGGTGCGTTGACTCAAAACATTTGGGAACACCAAAAGTTTCCTCACCGTTAAATACTTCAAGAAAATGGTATAATCTCTTGGAAGAGTGCGGGATATAAATTCCTTCTGTTTTGCCCGGTACACAACTTGACCTAAAGCATGTCAAAGTGACATCATGCGTAATGACGTAAATAAATGAATGAGCTTGTAAAATCAACGGCGCTCATGGGAACAGAGCGAGCGGTGCAAGGGAAGGGAAGGGAGGTATCATGGAAGTGTAGACGAGGTAATTCTAAATCGCAATCCAGAAACGGAGTCTGTCACATTACGACACACCTCCGCCCAGGTGTCCTTTCAGGTCTAGCTGCTGCTATCCCGCTAACATCAGCCTGTCGAGTTTGCCTGAGAGCTCGAACGAGATTTGTAAATAGGCGCTCCACATTGTAGGCTGTTCTGGCAGACGTTTCCATAAATTCACACCCAAAGGTTCGGGCAAGTGCAACACCCTCTTCCCGTGAAACCTCTCGCTCATAAGTCTTATCGCATTTGTTTCCAACCAACATGAATATTGGCTTCTGTCGCTTGACACGTAACATCGATTGACGGAAAACTTCAAGACGTTCAAACGTTGATCGAGATGCAATGGAGTAAACCAATATGAACCCTTGGCCCTCACTTGTAGATCTAGGATCAGTGTGCGACCTAATCGAAAGCAAATATACTTACCGTACCCATTGATCACGTAGAGTCGCATATTCCTCTTCGGAGTGTCCATGTGTCAGAGCTGGAAAAGTGATCATAGAATTGATCACCCACCTTGGCCTGCGGTATCGATGACCTCCACAAAGCACATGCGATTGTCCACTATCAGCTGCTTTCGATAGGCATCCTCGATTGTCGGGTCGTAAGTCTAACAAGACATTAGTAACATTCAGGGGTAACAGGCAAATAAGATTTACCTCTGGGAAGAATAAATAACACCAGTGAGTTGTATAGTGGCAAAAAGAAGATTTAATTTGACTTACCAACAAAGCAGTTTAGGGTGAACTTGACAAAAGGAATTCTGTCAGTTAACGAATATGCTGCCTTAAGACCACACACGACTGACTTGTACAGCTAAAGCAGTTTTGCCTACACCACCATCTCCAAGGACTGCTACTCTCCAACTGTCCATGACTAGGCATCACCTATCAGAAAGGGCGAACAGCGACAAATTAAAGGTATATATATATACCTTAGTGGTGTTCAAGATGAGAACTGCGTGCATTTAGCATAAGTGACTGCACGATATCGTGAATTTGGATTCATGCTCACCCACGCAGTGAAATAAAAACAATGTTGGAGTCTGCAGCGGTCTGATTTGTACGTTGACACGAGAAACGTATGAACAATGTTAGACCGAAAATAAGTCGTGTAGATTCGTGGATAGGTCGTAAAAGAGTTCAGAAGAGGGCGTCGAAGCTTAAAAGCAGACAAGATTGTAACGGCAGATTGAAAGGAACAGAATTGTCGTACTGCGTATAGTTACAGTGAAATGATATCGGCGGTGGCCGGCGTGACCGGCAGATGTGGCGGTCAGAGTGTTTTCCCAGATTCTGCCACACTTGAAAACCGTTGCTTTACCTACACCGCCAATTGGGGGAATCATGGCAGCCAGATCCAAAATGGTAATTATGTGACAAATATTCTCACTACACTCTTGCTATGGTTTTCTTGTCATATCATCATACCTAAAACAAAGGGACGGTGGTCCCAAAAGTTGTGTGGGCCACCTTGTGTCAGTTATTTTGCTTAGGTTCACTCACATGGTCTTTGTAACAATGCAAGAGCAGCAGTAGTACAGTACATGCCAGAAGGGAAATTTTTGTTGTAAGCAAATCACAAAACACAAAAACCTGGTCTCAGCTAAAGCCACTGTGGGGTGGAACACTAAGGGCTTGTACAGGATCAGGTTTTTTTTCTTTTTTCTTCTTTTTTTGAGATTTTTCTCCCTGGCCAAAGCCTTGCCATTCTAGCAAAGACACGATTGTAAAGTTCTGTGACCCATCAATAAGATAGTACTCAGGCTAGGGACCCCCATGTCATCAGCTATCAGCTGTACCACCTATATGGAACCCCAGCCACCAATCCCTGCCACTCATACAGAGGGAGATGATACTTCGATTCAGAGGGGCAAGATGGTTTGAACATTGTAGCTAATGACCAGCTAATGCCCACCCAACAGCGGATGTACTTGGCCCATTTACAGATGTCAAAGCTAGCTTCTATCATCATTGAATCAATTGCACACGCTACTCGGGCTATAGTGGAAGAACAAGTGCAACACCCCAAACCAAGACCATACCACAACTCGGTGACAAAACCGGATAAACCCGGTCTCTGCCAAAGCAGCCATTGTTCTCCATGGAGTCACCATTGTTCTCCTAGGAGTCATTATACTGTAGCGAGTAGCACCTCCAACTATAAGTTGTAGGGGGTTTAGTATAGAAATACCTCAGTCGTTTCTATAGCCTCTCGGGCAGCGGCTGAGTTTCACTTAGTTTTATTACTCGGTCCTGACAGGCTATGGATGGGTCAGGGAATTGATAGATGGGCATCCCGTTGTATCAGGATGGAGCTTGGGGTGCGGCAGGAAGTTTTCTTGAAGTTGTTAGATTTATTGCAGGCCAATGGATACTCAGATTCAAAGCATGTGTTGATTGAAGAACAACTTGCCATTTTTCTGTACACTTGTGTGACAGGATTGTCCATCCGCCACATCACTGAACATTTCCAACAATCCAATGACACAGTCTCTATATACTTCAAGAGAATGCTTGAAGTTTTCACTTGCCCTAATATCTACAATGTGTATGTACATCTACCAGATGCCAATGCCCCTATGCCATTTGCCATCAGCAATAACCCGAAGCTTTGACATTTTGTGGGTGCCATTGGTGCAATTGATGGCACCCACATTGTTTGCAGTCCTTCCGCCGCAGAACGTGCAGCCTCTCGCAATCGGAAGGGTTCAGTCACCCAGAACTGCTTGATGTGCTATGACTTTGATATGAAGTTCATATACGTGCTTAGCAGCTAGGAAGGGTCAGTTGCAGATGCCAGCCTGTTCCATGACGCTCAAACCCATGACCTGTACATCCCTCATCATCGCTACTATCTCGCTGATGTGGGATTTCCTTCATGTGACAATTGCTGGTCCCCTACAGAGGTGTCCGCTATCATTTGGCCAAATATGCTCGGGGAAATTGCAGGTAATGTACAGCATCTATTTACTATGTTACAGTAGACTAAAAATCATTTTTTAGACCTCAAAATCCCAAGGAATATTTTAATCTACGCCATGCATCTGCCCTAAATATTGTGGAGCGAATATTTGGTGCTTTGAAGGGCCAAATTGGGATTTTGAGGGTCACTATAGAGTACGACATGTCCATCCAAGCCAAGGTTCCACCTGCAGTCTGTATACTGCACAATTTCATCAAGACCCATGATCCCTCTGACATTGACACTCCCAATGACATCAAGCTCCTCAACCCTACTCCCGAGGTCGACAATGGTGAGCTTTCTCACACACCACCAACGGAGGCAAACCGTACTGCCGCCAATAATTGCCGTGATCAGATTGCTCGCACTATGTGGATTGATTATCAGCAGGAGCTAGGTAGAAGGGGCCTACTTTAGTTTACATGTTTTCGCATCCTTACAATGTGATTTGTTACCGAGAATGCATTCAGATTCAGTCAACAAAAACAAAATGTTAGATTCATTAAAGACACACAGTACTACAACATAACAAGATAAACGATACAACAAAAACACAGGTATGCAATATAGTACGCTAAAGTCGATTCACATCGTCTATCTTACTCCAGCTTTGACTTTACATATGCCTTGCGAAGTTTGTCGGATTCTAGGAGACTGAGGTACATGTCCATGGCTATGACATCTTGCTCAAATAAATGTAATAACTTAACAGAGCTGTTAACTCCCAGATATTTGTTGTGTTGCATCATGGGGGTGATAGCGGCACGACAATGAGCATGGGCTGGCTGCATAGACAAGCTGCCTTGTAAGGCATCAGTTGCAGTAGGGGGAGTAATAGAGGTAGTGGTGATGGGTGGCACAGTGGTAGACATGGTGGAGCGGTTTTCCACCAAAGCCGTTTGCAAAGGAGCAATAACTGGGGAGGCAGGTGGAGCAAGGCCAATGTCGAGTTTTGAGTTGAAGTCCTTGAAGATAGGGATGATTTCCCCCAACCAGTTGTTCAACCCACTGAGAGTATTGGCAGCGGTGTTGCGTGGGGCTTTGTTAGAGTGTCTGCTGCGGTTGCCTGCACTCTTGGTGCGAGATATGATGGTAGCGCCATCCTCCACGTCATCATCTGAGAGTGTGGCATCTCGTGCTGAGCGCTTGCTGCTGATGGTTGTTATAGATGAGGTGGTGGGAGCACGGATAGATGTTGGAGACTCAACACCACCAAGCCAACTTTTTACGCCGCCAAATGATTCAGGGCTGGTGGTAATGGTATTTGTTACAGAGGCACCAGTGTTAGGCTGATTGGAGCGAATATTGACGGAAGGTGGTAGTTTGGGGGCTTTGGGGGCTTTGGGGGCCTTAGCATGCTTCGGGACTTTGGGGACATGAAATACATTGGTACCCTTGGCTGGGACTCCACCCAACAAGGCATGCATGGTGGAAAAATGGGTCAAGCCCTTCTTCCAAAAGCTCTTTGCTACCAGATTTTTCTGTGTAGTGATTAGCTATCAGTTATAAAGGCAAAATGTATCATCATACCATAATGAGTTCCTTCCAGACTATTTCTCCTTTGTCAAGTATGTTAAGACCTAGCTCATCATCCCAAGGAATGCCTGACAAGTTGGTGATAGGCTTCACTAAATTGTACTTTGTATGAAGCTGTAAACCTTGAGGTTGATATTTAGCGATTGATAACAGATTGGATAATGTACCCTGCCCCACTTTGAGCTGTAGCAAGTGGCGTTCTTTGCTGGTCCCTTAGTAAAAAGAGGAACTAAATGTAACACAACCTTAGGCCAGAATGCAGTCTTGAAATTCAAACTGTCCCCACCCTCTGCGCTGTTGGTGGTGATGAACTGGATAAGAGCCAATGTCTCTGCTTCACTCTAAATGACATTGTTGCTACTGTTATCTTGGGCGCCTGTGCCATTGCCTTCTTCAATGTCCATTGCAACCTTGGTAAACACATCCTGAGCAGGCTGGAGGTCTTAATTCATCCTGGTAGAATATTGCAGTCGTTTTGGTGAAGGAACTGGGACTAGGGTTGGGCTGGAGGCCCTGTATTTTTTTGCTCTAGACATGAGGTTGATGGAAGTATGATACCTACCCATTCATAGCTCATGGGATGGATGCCTATGTGTCTCTCCGACGGCATTCTGGCAGATTGTGGCTGAAAAAAAAAAAGTTTCAGGAAAAACAGAGTTTCCGCACGAGCCCTAAGATGATCAAACAGAACAGAAAATAGACGGGAGCATGTATAACAAGGGGGAAAACTGGCAATAACTAAACAACAGGGGCTTAAGTACTACTCTGTACAAACAATGTATCTACATCAGCAATGATGTATAAACAAAGAAGAGTGTCCAATGAGCATTGAGCAATTGTAGTAAGCCTACGTAGGCTTACACCCTCCCAGTAACCGGGTTTTGAAGTTTGTCTCTCACCAGCCAATCATCCAAGGCTTGACAATCCTCAAGGTCTTGTTGGGGAATCAATGAAAGATTCTTGTTGACTATCAGCTGTCATGACTGTTCCAGGGTGGGAACATTTGTGTGATGGGAAGAGAAGAGGGTCGTTAGGGATGTCTTTTTGGAGACGACAGACATGGAAGATAGGGAAGGTGGATGGTGAGTTTGGGAGGTCTAAGGTGTAGGTTGAGGCAGCATGGTTGATGGCAGTGACGCGGTATAGGCCATCAAAATATGGCATGAATTTGGCAACACAGCCTTCCTTTTTTGGCATGTAATCATGTCTCCTGTTTTTTGTGAAGAGCATAACATAGTCACTGATGGCAAATAAAGGGTCCTTTGAATGGGACTTGTTTGTTGCAAGAGCTTGGGCAGCTTTAGCTTGGAAGAAATTGTCTCTAGCTTTGGAAAGATCCAACTCCATTTGAGCTATTAAGAGGCAGGCAGCTTCTTCATCAGATTCTGCAGGCGGGGGAACACCATCCTAAATGATGGGGGGAATTAATCTAGGAGTGCGGCCCATGCATAACTGAAAGGAGGAAAACCCAGTACTTTTGTTGACTGAACACATGATGTGGAAATGTACAAAAGGTAGCACTTTGACCCACCTTTTTTGATTACGCCCAACATGAAAACGGAGACATTGTATGATGATCTTGTTGGAGCATTCACTTGCACTATCGGTTTGAGGATGGAAGGTGGAAGACATTTTCAATTTGACACTGGTTAGTTGATGAGGCACGGCCCAAAGATCTTATTGTGGTCGGAGATACTTTCCAAGGGAAGTCATTCTTTCATTCTTGCAAAACCAGTGATTGAAGAAGAGGGAAGCAATCTGTTCAGTAGTGATGTTGTCATGACAGGGAATGATACAAACATTGGAATTCAATATATTGGTCATGGTGCACAGCATGTTGAATCCAGAGTCTTTCAGAAGTGGTCCGACAAAATCAATTATGACTGAATCACAGCAATTGTGAGGGACAGGTAGAGGGTGAAGAGGGCCAGTGGGCTGTGTTGTGCAATCTTTTTTTCGTGTGCAGTCTGAGCAGAATGGTAAATAGGAGTTTACCAAGTCGTGACACATTTTTGGCTAATAATAAGAGTCTTTGAGGTGTGTGTAAGACTTGTCAGGTCCAAAATAATCAAGAGAGTCATGCACTAACTGGAATAAAGTCTCTTTTAAGTTGTCAACACGAGGAAGGATAAGCCGGTTGTTGAGGTAGAGAAGTCCTTTTTGAATATGGACGCCCAGCAAGGAAGTGGGATCAGAAAACAGCCTTGTGCAGAAAGGGTCGTTATAATAACCCTGCTTGATGCAGGGAAGGAGAGTGTTGGCGGAAGAAATAGTGAGAACGGGTGCCATGAGAGTGGAAGGACATGAATCCAGTCTTGGAAAGCGCAATAGGGCATCAGCAATGGTGTTTTCTTCACCTTTTAAGTAAACAATTGTGAAATCATACTGAGACAGGAATTCTGCCCAACAAGCCTGTCTTTGGGATAGGTCACGCTGAGTGGAAAAGCTATCAAGTGTACAATGATTGGTATAAATAGTTATGGGGGCACCTAAGAGCTCAATTGGCCATTTTTTAAGTGCATGAATGATGGCGAGGAGTTTTTTTTGTGAACTGGATAATTGAGCTGCATGGAATCAAATGCAACTGGTTAGGCGATTTCTTGTGTAGGGCCCCAAGAGAGGAGTGCACCTGTGCAAAACTCACTAGTGTCTGTGGTGACGAAAATGCAATTCTCACCGGGGTTATCATGGCCAATCGACGTAAGACAAGCTGGGCTAACAACAAGATCCTTGATTGCTTGGAAGGCCTGCTGATGGGCCGGGGACCAAGCTGGGAAGGCAATGTCAGCTGCTTTGGTGGTCAGTTGAGTCAATATGCATGCATGTTTTGCAAGCAAGGGTAGAGCTAAAGGGATGAATGCCTTTGATATGTTCAGGATAATGTACTCCCTCACCCTTACACCCATACTATTGATTATGAATCAAGTCCTTGAAAATCTGAAGATAAAATGGCTTCTGCTTGTTGGATGTCCTGGCCTTGAAAAGATAGTTCAATTTGGCGTAAACATGGGAATAAACATGGGAGAATGATAGCTCACTTTGATATCAAGATCACCATCAGCAAATGCACCAGTCTCTAAAAGCCACGTTACAGCCTGCTTGATTTGAACTGGGGCTATATCACCAGGAATTTGATAAGCACCATTGATTATGATGCGTGCTTTGGCAACAATTTCTCCTTGAACCTGGGCAACAGCAGACCAAACCTAGCAACAAGATACTTGATTAGTACAACATTATTGGAGGTGGAAATATGTACATAGTCAATCAATATGGTTTTGATTTCTTCATTACTTTGAACCCCAAAAGCAGGAACCAGTTTCTGAAATTTTCACTGGGTCAAGAATTACATCATCAAGATTCAAACCATTCAAACCTAGAACCTAACATCACAGTTGACTATGAGACACCATAAATATTGAACCAAAGTGGCAATATTTGGTACCCCGTTACATACATACTGCTTTTGGCTCATTATTATAGGAAAAATTTGGTCTTGGCAGACTGTACATATAAACTAACCACAATTACAGGTACTTTAAGAAAATTCTTGTTGCTCTCTCCTCAGCCCCCATCTACCCAAAATATGTCCACCTTCCAACAGAAGATGATGCTATGCCACCCAAAATCCTCTCTAACCCAAGATTCTGATTCTACCCCTTTTTTTCTAACACTATCAGTGCAATTGACGGTACTCATATTGCATGCTATGTGCCATCAGCCAAACACAAAAACTCACACAATAAAAAGGGCAATGTCTCGCAAAATTGCCTGGCATGCTGCTCTTTCAATCTGCATTACTTATATGTCCTCACAGGTTGGGAGGGCTCTGCACATGGCACCACACTGTTCAATGATGCACGCAAACACAACTTACACATTCCAAAGGGGAAGTATTATCTGGCTGATGCCAGATTCAGGTCTTGCTGCCAGTTGCTTGTTTATTACCATGGAGTTTGGTACTATCTAGCAGTGTGGGGCAGAGTGGGCCAAAGGTAAGCTCTTTAATTTGATTTATTACGATTTCTAATTATTTTACAGGCCTCAAAACCCAAAGGAACTATTTAATCTGTGTTGAGCAGATTTTTGGTGTCCTCAAGCAATAGTTTTGCATTTTTTCAAGTTTCCCCAAATACAGCCTGGATGTGCAAGCTTGCATCCCCGCAGCTCTCTGCATGGTCCACAACTTTATTTGAACCCACAATGCAGAGAAAATTGAGAACCTTCTTGCTGACAACGACTCTTTATTAGATATCTGTACCAGTGGTACACTTGCTACCACTTTTCTCAACAAATCAGATCAACAACAAGGAGCCGCTAAATGTGAGGTGATAGCGGAAAATATGTGGGATGGCTATCAGTGTGAGTTAAGAATAAGGGGGGAACTACATACCTTAGATTTTAGCATAGAGAACAGCATGGATGTATAATCATTTTGAGGCTCAGTAAACATTTTTTTTGTTCACTTTTTTGATCACACAAGTGGGAGCTAATGAAATACAACATGCTACATTTCATACAGAACAAAACACAAGCAACAAGATATACATGGCAGATATAAATGTTAAGAGGCAACTACAGATGAATTTAGTCCATTGTTAACTTGACTGCAGGATACCCTTCCTCCTGAAGACGCTCCATCACCCAAAAACAAAGGAATGACTCGTACTCTGGGCCCTCCTCAAGGTCCATATATCCTTTAACAATGTCTGGCTTCAGACGCAACAGGTCAAGGAATGCTACCAGGTGCTCATCATCAAGCCATTGCTCAAGGTGCTGAGCACACTTTGTTGAGAGGCTTCATGTGTTCTTTTGGATAGATGGGCGGTTGTTGTCATTCGTATGGGCATGAGTGCCGGGGGTGGGAGCGGCGGGGGCAGCAGGAGTGATGGTCCTATTTGAGGTCATTTGCTTGATGATCGAGATGAATTGCATGCCCTGGGACTCCTAGATGTCATTATTATGTTGTATTTGCTCCTTGAGGCCATTGAGAGCAGCTGCACCAGATAAGCGAGCAGATTTTGAACAAGATGTGTCAGTAACTACCAAATCTGCCATTGCAAAACCTTCCACTGATGCAATATTTCTCTTCTCACCAGTTTATTTGAAGCTAAGCTAATGGGGGGGCGGACTGTGCTGGATTTAACAGATGGACTGGATTTTTGGGTAGTGACAAGGGTAAACTCATTACTGCAAGTAGTCGCTGGTGAGTCCTTGCTACTGGCCTAATTGATATCTATTGAATTGGCAACTTCCTCATCACTGTCTCCTTCCATTGCACCATTATTGTCCTCATCACTAACTAGGCCTCTTTCAATGCCACCCCCTTGAAGACTTTGCCCTGAAGGCATATGCACCTGTTACATGCTCCGGCATCATTTCCTGCATCAAGTCAAAGTACACCCATCCACTATTTTTAAATTGGTTGATGTCCTTCTTTAGGTTTCCCTAGGGCAAAAAGACAACAGTTAGTGTGAATCAACAGTTAAATAAAGGTAAAGACCTCAACAGTATCATTCCAAACAACCTGGGATGCCTCATTTACATTAACACCCTTCTTCTCACTGTAAGTGAACCCAAACACTGATTTGAGGTATCCAATGTTCTTGAAATCAGTTTTGAGCTGTTGTAATTGTGAGTGCCTCATAATACTATACTTATTCAATACCTTATGCCACTTATCCTTACATGCTCTTGCACTCTTTCAAGCACCTTTTGTTGTGTGCTGCTCCATTTCCTTGGCTATCATAGTCCAGAATTCTGGCTTGTAGCTCATCTTCAGGCCTCCTAGCTTCTTGTTGGCCTTTATGAGGTTCAGGAATTCAGTTGTGTCTTCAATAGGCCAAGCACATTTTTCCCTTTTCTCCTTTCCCCCTGTAGCTACCGCCTTCTTACCTTTCCCAGTGCCACTAGTCGACATCTTCCTTTGAGTGGAGCATTGAGCCATAAAGTTTGGATGCCTCAAGGTGTACGGGAAGATGAGATATGGATCAATCCTATCTTGGACATCATCCCCTCACTCCTTATTGACGCACACCTACCCAGTGAGGAAAATGGCATTTTGGCAGCTTTTTTTGGCATCCTGGTGACTTGAACTCTAGCCAAATGTCGGCAATTTCCTGGCAGTTTCCTGGCAATGCAACTAAACAAGCTCTACAGCACCAACAAATTCAACTGCTTGACAGTCTCAATCAATCAACAGTCAATGAACTTGAAGATGTCACCACTTGTACCAAGTAGAATGTTATTTATTAATTATGAGATCAGGGCTGATGTTCTTCAAAATTGCCAGAGTTTGTAAGATGTCTTCATTTCTCTTCTCCGTGCTTTCAAATCCATGTCCTCTTTCAAATTTCAAACATATGTCTAAGTCAGTGACTGCCAAACAGCAACAACCACTTTGGATCAGCATGTACAAAGCATGACCAGAATTAGAGTTTAAGTTCTTGTAACCGGAGCGTACAGAGTGTTTCAGGGTTTGTACTATAACATATAATCTACCTCTAATAAATGTAAGAGAGACTCAGCCACTGCCCGAGAGGCTGCTATTATTTACCTAAGAGAGACTACAGTAGATGTCAGTTTAAGGTGATCTCTAATAAATGTAATGTAACATTCCTCAGCCGCTGCCCAAGAGGCTATAGAAATGACTAAGGTATTTCTATACTAAACCCCTTACTACTTATAGTTGGAGGTGCTACTTGCTAAGGTATAATGACTCCTAGGAGAACAATGGCAACTCTATGGAGTGGAGGCTGTGCTCCATGGAGGGCAATGGATATTTTAGCAAAAACCAAGTTTATCTGGTTTTGTCACTCCCACTTGAGTGTAACCATAGTACCATAGCTTTAGAGAATTTCCAGTGTTTCTTGTGAGTGAGCAGTTTAGTAAGAATGTTGGCAACCATATCTCCCGATTGAACATATCTGATTACTGCCTCTCCCTTTGATACTAAGTCATCTTGGATAAAATGATATTTCTATTGAATATATTTTGTGTGAGCACGGAACTGCGGATCTTGTACAATGTTGTAGGTCCATTTTGAGCATGTCCAATCTCTTCAAAAAATGTCTGAAGCCATGCAAGGTGTTGTCCAGCATTGCTCAGTACAACATACTTTGACTCCGTGGAAGATAAAGCTACCATACTTTGTCTTTTGCTTGTCCAGGAGATTGCTCCTCAAATAGTGATAAAAACAAACCCTGATGTTGATTAGGACGTGTCTGGGTCTCCAGACCAATCTACATCTGAATATCCATAGAAATACATGTCCATGGAAATATTTGTGCCATAATAACATAGTTCTATGTCCCTGGTTGCTTTCAGATATTGGAAAACATGTTTGGCAGCTTCCCAGTGATGGCTCCTTAGAGCTGAGCTGTGTCTGCTTAACATTCCAACAACATAGGCAATGTCTGGGTGGGTTTCGAGTATGGCATACATGAGGGAGCCTACAATTGAGAGGTATGATACTTGACACCCTTTGATATGCATCTTGTGTTCTACAATATCTTCTCCTGGAGCATTTGCGAGGAGTTTTGATCCATACTGGTTTGCAGTTCTTCATTACAGTATGTTCCAGGACTGTGTCAATATATTGATATTGCAATAGGGAGATTGTTTTGTTTGAACAATCACGTCAGATTTCTATTCCAAGTATGTATTTTGCTTCTCCAAGGTCCCACATTTTAAATATGGATTCAAGTTTGGCTTTTGTGATATCCATGAATTTTGGGAATAAAGCTCCTAGGAGGAGGTCATCTACATAGACAACAACAAAACATATTTGTCCGTTGTCCTGGAATACATAAAGACATGTTTCTGCATTTCGTCTTGTGAAACCAAGCTCCTGGAGTTTGCAATCAAAAGTTTTGTTCCATGTATGACCAGCTTGTTTTAATGCATAGATGGATCTCTTCAACCAACCTCCAGCAGTATCCAGGTTAGATAGGAACACCCCCTAGAGGAAGTATGTACAGTTTTTCTTCAAGTTCTCCATTGAGGTAAGCTGTGGATATGTCTATTTGATCATGTTCTAGGTCGTACTTTGCTGCCAGGGCTAGAATAATTCAGATTGACTCTAAGTTTGCAACCAGAGCAAAAACCTCCTGGTAATCAATCCAAGCTCAGAGAGTTTGACTTTTGAGTGGAGTACTTACCTGGACTCATAACATTCTTCCTGATGCACTGTCCTGGCTTTATTTGTTTGATGCACCAGGAACCATTTGATCCAGGAGTGAGTACACCATGTTTGATGGTAATGTACAACCTTTGGCTTTGCCTATGGGACTGGTCAGCATGCCTGTCCTCATTGGAAAAGAAGCACTGGTGGAGTTCATGGCACATAAGTAAGATGGGCCGAGGAAAGAAGGTATAGAGTTTGAATGATGTAGCTCTAGGCCATACTGTGGTTGGACTTACCACAACCAAGGCCACAGGTTGCCTGCTTTAGCATCAAAGTGAAGGAACAGTCCGTTGGATAGGACTTCTTGCTTGCAGATCTGTCAAAGATAGGGCCGCAGGATGGTGTTGAACAGCATTTTGAATTCTAAACAGCTTGGTGAGCTTGAGGGTATGGTCTCTAGCATTTGACTAATAAATCGGGGCTAATTAATTTCTAGTACATGCAAACTGACCTAGGTTTTATATGCTGGATACAGCATTGGCATTAGCGCATTAGCCACTGAATTTGGTTGATCAAGCTCAAGGTCAGGGTGGTTAATTAACTATCTACAAATGCACAACTAATCTTGAATCCAAAGATACCAAACATTGATCAAGAGGTGTGCAATAGAGATCAATTGTAACATTAAGTACAAAGTAGGGACCGACCATCTATGGTCATTGCCTTAAAAAGATGATGTGTAAGCAAGCAAGCTCCTTGGTTTAAATTCCATAACAGTAAAAAGCCTACATGTGTGTACAGCATGTACATTTATAACAGTTGTCTGCTCACTATTCCTGTTGAGCATAATCCCCCACAGCTTAGATCAAGCCAACAAGATAGAGAGAATGCCCTTTAACTGTGACCAAGACATAGACCGTGAGGGCTAACACTGATCATGATTTTCTGCTAACCAGCTGACACCTACCTCTCTTCTCATCAGTGTTGCCAATCCTCTGGTACGTCATGGGAGGCACTTTGGTAGAACTGTGCATGTCTTACACAACATCTTGATATTACTTGACAATGATATGCAACACTTGGAGGAACTTACTAATACCCAAGATGCTAATATGCTCACAGCTGAGTAAGTAAAATTGTATCATTCATATGAGACACGTGTGTATAACACTAATCCGTTTCTCAGGGAAATGAGGGAGCATGCAGTCTTCAAGAATTTACTGTAATTGGTGCTTGGCCTGCAGGCTTGTCTGCAGCAGAGTTCAAGTGAGGAAACAGACTTAGTGGCCAGTTTGGTAGATTATATGATACTTTCCTTTCTCATCAGCTGATAGTTTTTTCAAACAGATCCAACAAGGTGCATTAAGTGCACACTCAGATGACACGAAAGGCCTGAAGTAATCTATTCTAGATTGGATAACTCCTTGTGGGCAAATACTTAATCCACCATTACCGAGAAACATCAAGACTGACCAAGGTTTCTTCCGGGAGCATATTAGAGCTCTTCTGTGTCCTGCTGGACTGGAGTGGTCAAATGATAAGTAAAATTTATTCTGCTTGATTGGGGGTTTGACTAGAGAAAAACTCAGACATGGCAAACTTACAGTGCAGGGTGATCAATGGCTGGTTTTTATCTATCAAGGCTACAGTTACAATCTAGATAATCCCTGGAGCGGTGTTTTTCAAAGTTGTTTGCTTTTATCAGTAGGTGTTCATTTGCTTTCTAGTTAAATGGTTGCTTGATTATCACAGGCTTATAAATACATCTTCACATCTCCAAGTTCAGTCGATAGAAAAGAGCCCCAAAAATTCATGGAATGATCAAAGCTACATCTGCTTTAATTGCCTACATGGACACTCAAGTAAGTACCTTCCTGATTAGTCACTCACTGCTATTGTTAATTTGAGACTGAAGGTCAGATTTTCTCTCACTTCCTTGCCTGTTTTTATGAAAAGTGATACAGTAACTGATTCTGAAAGCTTCTATAACTTTATTCTCAATCTCTTTAATGATCCGGACAAAATTGAAGAAGTGTTGGAATTACTTTTTGACAATTTGGTTCTCCACAACTCACAGTTATATAGCCAAATATTTCCCTACCAAGCAACAGCAATGCCCGACTACCCTGTCTCAAACAATAATGCCCTCTCATGTATCAAGGAACACCAAGCTGCTCTCAAAGCTGCCAAAGTTAATGTGCAGGTTACTCAGGATGCTTGCATGGGAAGTAAATATTGATCTGATTATGCAATTGCAAGCATAGTAGTATTGTGTTGGGATTGATATCAATGGGTGTACATAACATGTGGTACCAGTGTTTGTAACAACCAAGAGTTTGTATACTCTGGCGCACAACTCAGACAAGCAGTAGTGAAGTGAGTGGGAGTGGTTACCCCTTAAGATAGGACCAAGTTAGTTGTGGGTAAACAACAAAAGGACTCGCTGAGGAGTCTCCTTGATCTATTGGGGTATATATACTACTACAGGTTGTTTGTACTTGTGTACTATACAGTTAATGATGGCTCGTGTGACCAGCTCCACTGTGTGAGATACTTGTACCTAAAAATAAAGAATTCACAAAATTTATGCAGCGACTTGGCATACAACAGACTTAGTGTCAATATTGCCGTTAATTAAGCTTTTTGCCCCCATTGCTAGTACAGTAACATGGAAAGCAGCACTATGTCATTTTCTCAAAGGAATTCTCCAGCTCTGTGTATTTTGCAAAAATCCGACAGAAATTATGTCTGAATGTCAGATTTCCCACTTTCTACTTCAGTGGCAACTCAGAGTATTTCTTTGTAGGCCTGCCAACGATCATGTTCACTCAGATGGAGGACAACTTTACTGCTGACCAGGTTCCACAAATATGTAAGTCTAACATCATCTAATTTGTTGTGATTTACAAAGCTTGTTACAGATGCTATACTGAGCCTGAGTGAGCACGGCCGTCCTATCAGTACCCGGGACCCAAGAACCTGCAGACTTGCATAATGTTATTATGGAGGATAATGTTGATGTGATGTGATGTAAGTCAAATAATATTGCCAACAATTTTCCCTCCACTCACCACTACTCAGCATTAAATCAGATTTTAACATCCATCAACGCCACCCAACATGTTGGGCTGCCTGTCAGCACAGCACCAGCAGGCAGTAAATATAGTCGCATTTATGTTATATATCTAGTTTTGATGTCATTTGTCAGCTCAGTCACCATTAGAGTTGAATTTATATAATATGTTGGCAAGCATTGGAGACAATAATGAGGCTATTAGAGCTCACTGGGGTGGTTTTTTGCTTCAAATGTGATAGTGGGACTATTGCTGCATTGAGTGGGAAGTTTTTGAATCATGGGGTTTTGTCTTGCAGTGGTGAGAGAATATGTTATGCTGTTATAAATGTGGAGTAGTAGCAGAACTGTCTTGATCTGGGTATATCACTGTTGCAAGTTTGTAGCTATGTGTAGTAGCTCAATGAAAAGGGTGAAACCTGGCACACTGTTGTTGAATACCAGGAGTGAGTAAAACCCCGGGAATATTACTACAAAGCCTGGGGAGTAGTGGATTGCTACAAAGCCAGGGATTACTGGACTACTATTACATAGTATAATGGACCCCAGGTTTTTAAGCAAGAGCTGGGATGGCTGCTCATGAAGGTGGGGGGATCCTGCTTGTGAAGGTCCCAGCTGTGGCATGGGGCTGGTAAACCAGCTTGTGTGCTCCATGTGGTGGCCCAATCTTAATGGGATGGTCAGGAGCAGTAACCAGAGCCTCTGATGCTTCTGGATTTGAGGCCATTGGCTTCCAGAACTTGCACCCCAGGCTTGCATTGTTGTCCCACACACACTTGTACTTCTCATGGCTGCACTTGTTGCAGGACATCCTCCACTTCTTTGTCTGCTTACTCCTACTTATGGTGCAGGCGGACTTGTCCAACTTGCACCACTTGCATCCCTCCTCCATACACTTCCTCTCTAAATCCTCTATACCCCTGGTAATCTCTACCACCACCCTTACCTTTCACTTTCACTTGTCAGCTGGAGGTGCTACTGTGTCTATGGGATTCAAAGCTGGGGGGTTGGGGTGCTGACCAGTAGATGTCCTGGGGTGTGGATGGCCTTGAGGGCCTGGGAACAGGGAGTAGGGATAAGGAACACCAGGGCAGAGCTGCCGTCTTCGCCCTCTTCAACAACACTGTTGTTATGCAAGCAAAGTTGTGTTTTTTTTTGCCAGTGGTGGGTGCTAGGAGGCTCTCTGGCTATGCTGCTATTGTTGCAATGGGGAGGGTGGTAAACCCACAAGATGGGATCACTGTGAAAAGAAACAGTCAGTAGATAATTGAAAAAGAATAAAAAGAAACAAACTTACTTTGCAATCACCACCTATTATCAAGAGCCTCTATCCTCCCAGGATCAAACCAGACAAATCCATCCACCGTCTCATTTTCCTGGCTGATCATGGAGGGATCAACTGCCCCTCCCTCATTCTCTCCTCTGCCAAACTATGTGATGGCACTGAGAAGGAGTTTGGGGATGTGGAAGTCATGTCTGGCATCATTTCCCTCCTTTATTGTGTCTGTCCCACTCACTACTTCCTCCCTCAGCATCTCCACATACTGGTTTTTGTATTGAAAAAGAACCTGGGGCTAGTGCATAAGGGCCTTTGCACCCGTTGGCTTTATAGATTTTTTCTTGGGTGACAAAAGACACTGGGAGTGGTATTTTTGGTTGGGGATGTGATGGAAGGTGTGGTGTAGGTAGTATTGCCTGAGTGACTGAGATGTTAAAGGGTTCAGACACGCTATACATGGATCTGGTGCCACAGATTGTGCCCATGGGAATTTTAAGAAAAATACTTGTGATTGCATGTGATGAAAGTTGGACTTGTATTTTTCACAATTAAATACCGGCAATGTTGCAAATGCCAACTCCCCAGTGCAGATTCAGTACCCGGAAACCATCCATTATTAGTTTTTATGTATCTTTCAGTAGTATATATAAACAGCCATCTGCAGCAGCTCCTCTTACTTTGGTTTGTGTTTTAATATGTGTTAAGTCATTAATATAACACTCATAACTGAGACTTGTCAACAATTGGGCTAGAAAATCCATATCTGAAAAGTTTGAATGAATGTTGAGTGTGTTTGTAGATTATAAATCAATGAAACCAACTATTCCCTGTCTGAGCATTAGTGAATTATATCATTAGCAAATTTAAGCTGAGTACTGTGGGGTGTTCTTGTATATAATAGTACATGTATGTGTGAAACTCACCCCTAATGCACCAAAAAATTAAAACTTTGAGGGACTAACAATAGGTGAGCTTGTGACATTGGTTTTTTTTTATGTGGTTTTGGCTTTTGATGTGATTTTTCAGTCTTGTGACATGCTCAGTAAGAACTCATTTTTTTTCTGTCTATATTACCAACCATTTTCTACTTCTAGGTTGAATGTTTGCCGATGAGTACAGTACCATAGTCTCAAACCCAGGTGTTTTGGGAAGCAGTCAAACTCAAATGCATTCCCAAAATGTCTGGTGACTTTCATCTCAGGACGAGTGCATCGAGTCACACTGTCACGCTTTTTGCTCTTTTTGGGTTGAAGTTTTAGATTCTCGTCATCATGCTTATTAGGACACCAAATAGAATATGATCCGTGACTCTGAGTTGTAGTATAAGCAACAGAGACAATTTTCAGTGAACGACAAGTCAATGCCAGCCTTGTCATGTCCTTCATCACATGCTGAGGCTATAAAACACTCCTACAAGCTCCTCACTGGAGCCTAAAGGGCAAAAACCAACTACTCCTCGCAGGAAACTTGCGCAAAGTTGATTCAGTCTGTCGGAGCACAATGCAATAACCGGACACCTTATGGATGGCAGCTGGATGCCTCTGAGGCATTTACACTGGGATTAGACTGTATAATAATAGCGGGTACTGGCACGGGTAAGACACTTGCCTTTGCTATGCCTTTGTTACTTCACAAGAGTGTATACTTGTCATCATCTCGCCTTTGAAAAGTCTGGAGGAAGACCAGGTGAGTTTTTTGTAACATATCTCAGTCGCTTACCTTTGCTTCATATTAATCCAGGCTGCACAGTTCCGTCAGTGGGGAATACAGTTTGCAGATGTCAACAAAGACACATATAACGAGCACTTACACAAGGAGCTCAACGAGCAAAAATATAATGCCAGAAATAGTTATAAAAAATCCTCGTTTAAAAGGCTTGTTATGCTCACCTGCATTCCAGCGACACATGCTTGACTATATCATTGACGAGGCCCACTGCGTCTCACAGTGGGGAGGGGATTTCTGCCCTACATATTCCCAGGTCAACCAATTGTGATCCTTTCTACCACTCAATATCCCTGTATATGCAACTTCAGCCACAATGATTCCTAATATTCTCGCTGATGTTTGGTCAAAGCTACATATCAAGTTTGAGGACCAAGTCGTCAATTAGCAGGCTGGTAAAACCCTCTTCACTGACATCTTTGGGCGGGCACTTTGCTAACTCCTGTATGCTATTTAACTCTCTTTCAATAGCTTCCCTAACACATGAGAAGGCAAACACCTCGAGTACATCCTTTCCCCCACTTGCACGTGCATTGTGAGTGCCCTTAGTCTGGGGTGGTTTATGCCAGCGGGCCAGTATCACTGGAAGCTCATCACTTACCATGAGAGCTGTCCTTTCATAGCGGACCTTGGGGTCCATGATGCAGTTGTAGTTGCCCCAGCTGAGATAATCTAAGAATAAGGGAAGATTGAGCCCAAGCATGTTCATGTATTCCAGCATCAAGCAAACTTTGGAAGCAGGAGTGCCGGTGAGTTGTGTTTTGAGTTGAGATGTGTATTGTAGCTGGACAGGGTGTATATTTAAGTTCTCTGGGTCACTACTGGGCTCTGTATCGGTGGATGATAATGAATTGTGTGTATTATTGACCGCTGAGGGGGCGGATGGATTGTTGTCGTCCTCAAAAGCCTCACCGCTATTGCAATTAGACAGGCTCTCACGTTCAGTGGGATTGATCATGGTTTGAAAGATAAGATAAGCTAAGATTTGTAAGCTACTGCTCGGTTCTTGTAACAACGGTGCCGAACGCAGCCGACAGGTGTGACTCGATGCACTCATCACCTATCAAGAGTCACCAGATGCTAGGATGTTCCCTTTTAGCTCTGGTCACAAGACTAACAGTACCATTGAGTTCACAGAGATGCTATTTCCAGCTAGGTATATAGTTATTTCTCATACCTATATGCTTTGTTTGGTGAAACAGAGGCTTCTCAAGACAGTAATATTCTTACCTCATTATCATCCCCAACTCATTTTGGGTGACTGTCCTCCTCCTTATCTGATAAAGGTTTCAAAAGAGGTACTACATAATTATTTCTAAGCATAACTAAATTTTTTTTGCATAATCCAAAATATGATCTATTATATTCTTGCCATTATCAGCATCATTGTCATTATCATTCAAATTTAATCCCTTGTCATGTAAGTTGTCTTTGTCAGAATCTTCTTCATCAGCCCACATTGTTGCTGCTCTCTTACATGTGGCTGTAAACAGGTATTTGGTTTTTGTGCCCTTAAGAGTCACATCATGTACCAAATTTCTCTGCCTCAGCTTTTGAGGCTAATGCAGCCTTTTTTCTTGCTAGAAACAAGCTTCACACTACAGGCTTTGGCTTATTTAAGCCCAGCTTATATGCTGAAAATATTCAATTCTAGCTTTTTCTAGCCAATCAGAACCCAATATTGAATATGTTTTTCCTGGGGTTACTATTAGGTCTCCTGGATGGCACCCCAATATCAAAGACATTTTTCCCATTACAGTTAGGTCTCTTGCATGGCACCCCAATATCAAAGATATTGTTTATAAGAGTGGGTGCTGGGGAGCATTCGGAGGAATCCAGGGAGCATTCAGATGAGTCAGACCCCCCTGGGGATGGAAAATTGTCTGACAAGCCAGTTGACTCACTTGAAATTGCTGATGAAATGTATATCAGACCTTTTAAGTACAATTAAATGTATGAACTTACAATTTATGGTTGTTGGGTCATATATAGTGGGTAACATGGTGGGTAACATGGGTAAATCTGAAGAAAAGTATTTCAAGATGGTGGTGGAGTAATATTTGAGATGATGGGACATACCTGGGGATGGTTCCCAGGCACTGGATTTGTACTGTGGAGTTGGTATTTGCAACATTTCTGGTGTTTGATTGTGAAAAATACCAAGTTCAGCTTTTATCATGTGCATTTTTCTCAAAATTCCCATGGGCACAATTTGTGGCACCAGATCCATGTATAGCACGTCTGAACCCTTTAACATCTCAGTCACTCAGACATAACACTTTACACCAGACTTTCAACCCCTCCCCAACCAACAACACCATTGTAATGTCTTCTGCCACCCAAAAAAAGATCTACAAGGCCAACAAGTGTGTCAGGAAGGCAGTGATGTACTGGCCCTTGGTTTTTGTCCAATACAGGGACTGGGCACGACTTCCACGCCCCCTGGCTCCAAATCTTTTTGACTGCCATCATGCAGTTTGGCAGAGCAGAGAATGAGAGAAGGGCAGTAGATCCATTGTTGATCACCTGGGAAAATGAGACAGTGCAGGAATCAATCTGGTTTGAGTCCAGGAGACAGACTCCTTAGAGGAGGGAGGCTCTGGACAATAGGTGGTGGTTGCAAAGTAAGTTTTTTATTTTTTCATCCTTTTTCAATTACTTACTGAGTGTTTCTTTTCACAATGATTCCACCTTATCCTTGTACTTTTGCCACCATGCGTTCTGAAAGCCCCCTGGCACCCACCACTGGCAAAAAAAAGTGCAACTTTGCTTGCATGACAGTGGTGCGTTCAAAGAGGGCAAAGAGGGCAACTCTGTCCCAGCGCTCCCCACCCCCACCCCCTGGTCCCGGGCCCTGAAAGCCATCTCGCCCCCAGCACACCCGCCCACGCCCCGGGACATCTAGTGGTCAGTGCCCAGACCCTGTAGCACCTCCAACCTCCAAGGGAAAGGTGGTGGTAGAGATTACCAGGGGTGTAGAGGATCTGCAGAGGAAGAGCATGGAGGAGGGGTGCAAGCAGTGCAGGCTGGACAATCCTGCCTGCACCATCAGCAAAAGTAAGCAGACAAAGAAGTGGAGGACATCCTGTGACAAGTGCAGCTAGGAGAAGTACAAGTGCATCTGGGACAACACTGCAAGCCTGGGGAGCAAGTCCCAGAGGCCCGTGGCCTGAAAGCCAATGGAACATGTTTAGCAGCCCTCCAAATTGGTAGGCCAGAGAACAAGATAACAATAACTTGAATAGCCTCCTCAAATGCAGGATGCTGCAGAGGCATGAGTATATTGCCCATCGTAAAGACAATCAGTGTCGTGACCAAAAACGTGAATAAACATACAAATTCATCCAATATGTGAGCAAAATTGAACCCTTCCAGGCCGGTTTGCAGATACCAATTTAATGCTTGAATTACCCCTATGCCTGCCATTTTCAGACCAAAATGAATTGTATGAGGGGGGGGTGTTGTCCTGAGCTAAGAAATTAATTGCATAAGTAGATATAATAGAACATATTGAAGGTGAAGATGGACCTATGCTATTTGAACCCGGATGCCTTTCTATCCACTGCCTGTTTGCTTCATAGACATAATTGTCTGCGAAATCTCCATCGAATGGGTTGAAGATATTGAGCAAGTCATCTGCCTGAGCATGCAAGAGGGTGTCTTTGATGATGTGGTGATTGTAGTCAGAAAATTGTGTACGGTACTAGTCCAAAGTATGCAAGCACTGCGGTAGATCTATGTGAGTGTCAGCATTATGTGGTTCAGGAGTTATTTCCTTGTTGGCTTGAGAGCTCAAATCTGCAGCTGAATATTAAGAACAATAATCTGATTGTTGAGATGGTCAACCTGAATGCTGAAATTGTTGATGAGAACACTGAGGTTGGCAGCGGGAATGTTCTGATTGATGGCTTCCAGTATAAAATGTAGAGCCCTGGCTAACTGCCTCTGAACCTTCACCAGAATGGTGGCCAGAATAGTGAAAGCCATGATCTGGATACACATTATTGCCATTGGGATCAAAACTGGAGCCCTCGCTAACACCAGATATGTGGTGATCCAAAATCAGAGTTGGCTGGGATAATGTTTCAGGGTGAAAGCCTGTAAAGTTCCATTCTCCATGACTAAAATACGGGTCATTTTGAAGAAAAACATCATTCCGGCCACATATTTGCTGTAAACCAGAAGCAACAGGTAGATCCTCCTCATAGTGTACATAAAAACTATTAGTAAACAAGTAATGTATAGCATAGATGCTACCCACAAGCTGGGATGATAAGATGCGAGCGCTGGTGTTGTCACAAAATCCCCAGTGTAGATTTTTGGCATGAATAGAAGCCTGTATTTTTTTGTCACTCAGACTGGCACCCAAAGCTTGAGTGATTTCTTCATATTCATGATTCTGGTCAGGGCCAAAGGTACAAAATGATTTTGCAGCAAACAAAGACTGTATCATGAAAAAAAACCAACCAAACACTGGCAAGCATTTTTGAGTTCAGCATTGAGAAGATGAGACTACCAATCCCAAAGACATAATCTACTCGCTTGGTATATATGTATATATATGCTAAAGCATGCATACAGCATTTCCAGCCTCAACAACTCACTCTCAAACTGCACAATCCTACCATTGTCCCTCAATTTCGCTAATTTGAGCGAATTGAGTCACCAGATAACATATATTAGCTCACTGAGTGACATGTGTGCTGTGAAAAATCTAGATGAATGAGTAATTGATGATGGAAAATGGGCACCCCCTAACATTGTATTAACAGCCTATATATCGAAGACGAGGATAAAGTGACACACTGAGTGATGTCTTTTGAGAGCGTGAAGATCTGAACCTAGATTAAGGGATACAGAGTGGTCATTTGATTTATCGAGCTACCTTAGAGCACTTGTGCACGAGGTAAACTTACATACCAATTGATGTAGTTTAGCACACAGCATAATCTTTGTTGAGAATTCAAAGTTCTAAACCTATAGCTGGATGATCAATAGATTAATAGAAGATTATCATCACCTATTGATGTGTTCATAAAATACCCATGACGGACATGACCCAAAAACTTATCTTCTTCATTGTCTGTTACCACATCCATACACCTACATGCGTAAAGGAAGTTCTTAGACTGAGTTAGAGTGGTATTTCCATCAGTGATCTGAATTCAAAGACAAAGACAAACCTATAGCTATAGCTAGCTATATTAACACTCCCAAGAGAATCCCTGGATAGGAGAGTATAATCTATCAGTTTATGGTAATATTAATTATCAATTGGTTGGATTTGATGGACACTTACTTGCCTACAGCCTGAAAATGCAAACACCAGTCCTAAACCTGATATGCCATCTAAGGAGTACTGATCAAAATATTAACCATCAACATTAACAATATTAATATTGACCATGATACCATGGATGTGGTGGTAGCGTGCACATATTGTAATAAATTAGGATTCTGGCTGTAGGACCCCAACCATGTTCAAAGGGGTCTTGTCTAGCTCTCATCCCACCACCAAGGCTCACTCCCACATATTGACTTTTACATACAAGAAGACAAGTTCCCTGCAGACTCAACAGATCCCACCAATTGCAGTTTACCCTAGCAGTCTCTGATGTTTACAAACTGAAAGAGAATGTCCATTACTCACTCTAGATCTGATCATCACATGTCTTATGTCAAGGATACTGGAAGGATCAACATGAACAGATGGGTGCATACAGTTGATAAGTCCTCACCTTCTATTTTCTCACCATGCAATTGCACATTTTCCTCAAGTGATCAATCATTTTCTGTTATATTAATGAGGCACTCTACAGATGTTGTGAGGAAGGTAAGCTCAGTTTTTGAGTTTTTAGTTCATCATCACTTGAACATATTTGCTTCAGATCTGTCTCTTGTTACAATTGACATACCAGCACCTACTTACGCTTCACTTTTTGTACTTTGACTTTTCATTTTCCAAGTCACATGACCAGTCATGTGACACAACACCTGACCAATGTCTAGACTCATCATGTGACCGGTCACATGCTAAACATTGGACTTTAAAACTCTATTCAAAACTGTACAGTACCTCATGTATTTTAGTATATATACAGGAGCAATACATGGGGAAGGACTCAGTGAGTCCTCCTGTTGTCTACCAACAACTAACTTGCTCCTACCAAATGGGTAACCACTCCCACCTCTTCCTCTTCTTTTGAGTGTTGTTTTCATTATGCTCCAGTGCCCCAAGACTGTGTATTGTTGATGTGGTCACATCTCTCATCATCAGACCATAGCAATTCTTTGTGTGCAACAAAACAAAGTCTGGCACCCGCCACTTATCAGTCACGCACAACTCTGCAAGCAGTTGCACTTAGTGCAGAAAGAAACTGTTGCTGCCATCTTATTTGTGCCAACAACTTTTGGGCCTGTTTGATGGTAGCCTGTCAGGAGCTTGACCAGGTCAGTAAAGTCAGTAGACTATGCCATCTCACACACTGTGCCTGTATCCTGGAAGATGGGAAGATCCCGCCTTTATGGTGCATAGTGCTGGACAACAATACACATTAAGCAAGCCTCCCACTGGACAAAATATGTACAATTCCAACATGCCTTACACTGGATCTCATATGCTTAGTGGGCCCTTGATGCAGACTGCATTAGTCAGAAATGTGTAGGTTGCTAGATGTATCAATAAGAAGTAAGCATTTTCTTCTCTTTTCCAGCAGTTTATTGAACATGTCTGTCTGCTATTAAGATTTTATCTTTGTTGGACACACACTATCCTTATTCACATTTAACCTATTTTTTTTACCGTTGTTGAACCTCATTGTCAGTTTATTTGTGTCTAACAATTGGAGATTGTAGTGCATCATGTGATTATTTATTATTTGCCCACGTTGCCTGGATTGCAATGGCTAAACATATATGAGTGAAGTGAGTTAAATAAGAATTATGTCCATGTTGATGTATATGAATTGTACACCCTTGGGATAATGATTCGTGCTATGAGTACTTAGTTTCAGTGATTTACATCCTCATCCTCCTCATATCTTTCATTGCAATCATATCCCATGTCCTCATTATCACACTTGTCAGCTTGCAGGTCCTCCATACACTGAGCTTTCTTGGAATATTCATTGGTTGGCAGGAGATTTCTCGTCTTCCAGGATTCACTTTTGTGACGGTTACTTAAATATTGCTTGACAAGCTCTGCGGTTGCCCAATCATTTTGGAATTTGATCAGGTAGGAGTGTTGATGGTGTGCCTTTTGGTAGGGATTTTTTGTCAAAAACTTTAGGTGCACTTGTCAGATTTACCAGCTTGAAGAGATTTCCCAAGTCTTTTGGGGCTTGATGGCGGTATTCAGCATGTACAGTGCAAAAACTATTGCAATGTTTGGCCTAAATGTGGTGTGCAAAGTGCACTGCCAACAGGTGTAGGAACTTTGCTCAGCTTTGGTGGGGTTGACAAAAGTACTTGGTCTTGGCTACAAAATGGTTCCTAGGTTATATGATTTGGCCCAGCAGCTGTGAAGATATGTCCATTTCAAAAGAGCAATACCATTGTAACAGTTTTTTTACTTTTGAGTTGGAAGCAGAGATACAATAATATGATAGAATATCTGGCTTTGTTTGGTCCCACAAACAAAAATACATGTATAGCCATTGTTTCTGAGTTTAAAAAAGTTTGCACGCTTCTGTATTCTCAGCCACCATCATCATGAAATCCCTCTCTCCTGCTCAAAAGAACTGTATTATTAACCTCCTTGATGCAGGTCAAACTGCTCACTCATTTGCCTCTACCACTGGTGTCCATGTCTCTACCATCTCTAGACTTTGCTCCAAGGAGTGTTCTAAGCTCCAAAAGTCTGTTGGAGGTCGTCCATCTAAGCTTTCTCCTGCCAATGTCTGCCATGCCATGCATCTCATCTCCACTCGCAAGGCAGAAAATACTGTCCAGATCACCAAAGCTCTTACCAACATCATCAACCAACCTCTCTCCCCAAACACTGTCTGCCAGCACTTGAAAAATGCTGGCATGAAGGCTGTGGTCAAGTGGAAAAGGATTGGAAGAAGGTTGTATGGTCTGATGAGACCAAAATCAATCGCCTGGGGTCAGATGGACACAAGTGGGTGTGGAAAAAAGCCAGGTGAGGGGCTCAGTGATAGATTGGTACAGGGAACTGTCAAGTCTGGAGGAGGTTCCATGATAATCTGGGGCTGTATGACTTGGGAGGGAGTTGGGTATGCTGCTAGAATTGATGGTAGGATGGATGGGGACCTTGACCTTCAGATTTTTAAGGATGAGCTGCTAAACACCCTACAGTATTATGGTTTCAATCCTCCTGAAATCATCTTTCAGCAAGGCAATGACCCCGAGCATTCCTGCAAAAAGGTCAAGGAGTGGCTAGATGAGGAGGAGTTTAGAACTATGGTGTGGCCTGCACAGTCTCCTTATCTTAATCCTATTGAACATGGGTAGAGTTGTCTCAAGAGGAGGCTTGCAGAGTATGTGTTACGCACAAAGTGCTTAACAAAGTCTGAGGGTTCGTCGAGGTTTGTAAAGAGACTTATCCAAAGACAAGTTCGAGAACATAGTTCTGAGTGGAGTTCTTCCAACGAGAGTTGGTCTTCTTCTGAGTAGAAGTCTGATCTTAGGAGTCTAGCTTTGTAAGCGTAAACTGCGTAGAATTGTATTAGAGAATACTACTGCTATTACATGGTATTTATAATGAAAATGAATCAGTGAAAGGAGTTAGGTCCTATCTAGGGCAGGTCCATCCGTTGAGGACTAAATACTATAATATGTACTGCAAATGCGAGAGGAACGGAAGTGTACGTGAAGGAAATGAGTCTTTGGTCTGATGGTATAACCGATGAGTAAAAAGAAATGAGTAGTCCTTAAATGTCCAATAGAGATCATAACATTACCCCCTTACTTGCTCCAAGTTTCACCAAAATTCAGTACCTTCGCCATCAATATTGTAACTGTTGTCGTAGCTGACATCTCCATGTAATCTTTCCATCAGAATCCTATCCTCGTCTTCCCTGCGGATGGGACACCAATTAAAACTATGTCCCGGTGCACGACGGTCACAGTCGGGGCAATAGTAGGCTTCGCAATAGTATGTGCGATGATCGCTCCAACCGCAGTATTGGCAGTATGGAGCGTTGTTACGAACACCTTTGTGGTATTTTCGTCGGGTGTTGGATGAGGTGTCGGATTGGGGAGTGGTTGGATCATCATCTCCTAAGGTGTACGTTCCTGCGTACAACTGATCGATCATGGCTGCATCATCATCTACATTGATTGGGTTGGAGGGAGAACCAGTCTCAGGCCTGCGCGTTGCGCCAGGCGGACTGCCTTTCTGACCCTTTGACATACGAGATTGCCGTTCCGATGGAGTTCTGGCGGCGGGGATCTGGAGTATCACTTCTTGTTGGCCGCGTCGGGCTCCTCGCCGGTTCGTCAGATGACAGGTTTGGGTGTTTGGTACTGGTCGAGGTGGAGATGACGGGGGAGACAGTGGTTTTGGGTTTGACCCAATGGGACAGGGACTGGAGGGGCTCGACTCTTGCAAGATCAGGCTGGTTGGGATGGTTGGAATATATTTTTCCACCGACTGGGTGGGCGGAGGATGTTGGGTGACGATGTGGTAGGTGCGCTCCGGGGTAACACTGGTCTGTTCTGGGTACAATAGGGACTGGTGGGACAAACCGGGTGGAGGAGTACGCATATAGCTGTCTCACTCTATCCGCATGCACGTCTCTGTTAGCAAGGTCCTCCCGCCTAATTCCAAATATGCCTTTGCCGTGTCCGTCTGCCCATTCAAGGAGTTCATCCTCAAGTGTTGTTCCAAAGATTACAAAACTAATTTTTCCATCCGGAGTACCCGACAAATACTCGAGTCCTGACTGCAGAGCTGCAAATGCTCGTTTTCCTATGAATGTAGTGAGTCTATGGCTTTTAGCAGTTCATCAGCTACAAGGTCTATGGCAAGGAAGTTATGCATGGAAGAGAGTGCGTGGTACGCATGGGGGCAGCATTTTTCTGTTTCATAAAATAAATAGACTTAGGCGTTTTTGGCTGACATTAGCTCTATAGCGTCAGAGACGTCAGCTTGGTTGTGTTGTTGCCCTCGGGCAAAGGACACTTGTTCATTGGCTAGCATGTTGGCTTTGCCGGGTACGGAATAAGTGGTGATAGGGAAGCCGGTAGAGTGGGAAGTAGACATGTTTTTTTTTTGTGTTGAGAGAGAGCAGATTGTTGGTAGTGGGGTGGTTGTCTCTTCAACGCAGCTTGTGGTCCTTTTTATAGGCTTCCAGTATCTCCGCAGCATTGGTTAAATGTTCTTCCGGTTCCCATGAGTTTTTGGAATGAGGGTAATGGCGCTATTTAATCAGGTAGCGGTGCCCGCGTTTCCAGCGTTTGTGTTTAAGAATACTTTCTACTTCGTATTCTTCTTCTCCGTTGATAAGGTCAGGTGGTGGTCGGATAAAGTTCGGGCCGTGAGTATTGGTCTCCATATACGGGGTGAGAAGGGATGTGTGGAAAATGTTGTGTATCCTCCAATGGGGAGGCAGGGATAGTTGGTAGTTTACTGGGGAAATCTTTTCTTGGATAAAAAGGTCCAATGCGTTTCATGTTGAACTTCTTGTATTTGGTAGCTTTTTCTCGCAGGTTGGTGTTCTCTAACCACACCTTTTGTCCTTCGGAGAATCGCGTGAACTTTCCGTTGTTTTGTTTCATCATCTTTTCTCACAAGTTTGTGTGCTTTTAGGGTGTTTTCCCTTGCCCTAAGCAGTTCAGATAATTGTTTTTCCACTGATGGGATATTCGTGGATCTGTGTTTAGTCGGGATTCCTCGGGGTTCATATCCCATGAGGAGGTAGAATGGTGATTGGTTGTTTGTGGAGTGTGGTCTTTGGTTGTGACAGAATTCGGCGGTTGTAAGGTATTTTGCCCAGCTGTGTGGTTGGTTCTGGCAAAATATGCGGAGGTAGATCTCCAGTTCTTGATTGGATTGTTCTGTTTGTCCATCCGTCTGGGGATGATACGCAGAGGAGAGTGCGGTTTCAATGTTCAGGAGTTTGTGGAGTTCTTTGGATACTTCAGAGGTGAACTGCGGTCCCCTGTCGGATATGAGTTTATCGTGCAATCCGAATCGTTTGAAGATGGAATTGTGAAAGATTCGTGCGGTTTTGAGCACGTCGATGGTTTTATGACAAGGTGAGAGGATTACCCCCTTACTAAGTCCTTGGTCTACCACGACCATTATACTGTCGTATCCTGAAGATTCTGGTAAATCAGTTATGAAGTCTACGGATAGGTACTTCATCGGTTCAGTGGTTTTTGGGGTCTGGTTTGGGATTAATGGTACAGTGGTGGGATGCATGTTTACTTTTGCTTGTTGACAAGTTGCACATCCTTTCACGTATTCTTCCACTTGTTTCATCATTCCTGGCCACCAATAGGCCTTTTTGATCAACTGGTAGGTTTTGAGCCTTCCTGGGTGTCCTGCGGACAGGGAATTGTGGTGATCTTTGATGATCGTCTTTTGTTCTTCTACTTCGTCAATCAGTAATTTATTCTGATAAAAGAACTGTCCTTCTTCTTTTCTCCAATCGTCTTTTTTTGTTCTTCCTGGAGAATTATTGTTTGTGAGCATGGCTTGCTCGATTGTGTTTTTAATTGTTCGTGTGTGATACAGAAACGCTGAAGCGGGTATCATTGGTGTGTCATTGTCATCTCCTTCTGTTTTGACGTATAAATCAGGTCTTCTTGAGAGTGCATCGGGTACCACCATGTGGGTTCCTGGTACGTGCTCCAAGGTGTACTTGTATTGTGACAATCCCATCTGCCATTTTCTTTGTCGCGGTGTGAGTTTCCTGGCTTCTTGCCAGTACGTCAGGTTCTTGTGATCTGTCAGGATTTGGATTGTGTGGGGGCTTCCCAAAAGTAAGTGTTTCCACTCTTTTAAAGCTCTCATTACCACTAATAACTCCTTGTCGTAGATCTGGTAGTTCTTTTCAGCGGGGGATGGAGTTTTGGAGAAAAATGCACATGGGTGCCATTGTCCTTGGTCATCGGGTTGCATTAATACAGCTCCTGTGGCGTGTTTGCTGGCGTCTGCAGCAATCTTTGACGGTTTTGAGGAGTTGGGAATTTGTGTTACGGGGGATTCGAGGAATTTTTGTTTCATCAATTTGAAAGTGTTGTCTTCAGTTTGGGTCCAGTTCTACTTCCTATCCTTTTCTAGTAAGGCATTCAAGGGTCTGGAAAGGTCAGAGTAATGACCGATAAACTTCCTGTAGAAGTTTCCATAACCTAAGAACTTCCTTACGCCTTTGGTGTCTTTCGGGATTGGCCAATAGCGGATCCCAGCAAGTTTGGCTGGATCCATCAATACCTGATTGTGGGAAACAATCATTCCCAAGTATTCAATGGTTTCTGCTTCGAAGGTGCATTTTTCTAGTTTTAGGAATAGGTTGTTATTGCGTAGTCTTTGTAGAACCTGTTTCGTTCGGATTTGGAGTCTTTCGATGTTGGTGTCAAAGATGAGGATGTCATCCATGTATATGATCATCCAACCTTCATTGATGTAGTCTTTGAATTTGTGGTTCATCAGCCTTTGGAATGTTGCCGGTGAGTTGCACATGCCAAAGAACATGACCGTTGGTTCGAACACTCCTTTGCTGGTTTTAAACGCAGCTTTCCATTTGTCTCCTTCTTTTATCCTTACGTTGTTGTATCCCCAACGTAGATCCAGTTTCGTAAAGATGGTGGCCATTAGGCCTCTTGCATGGCACCCCAATATCAAAAATGTTTTTCCCAGGGTTGGTCTTAGGTCTCCTGGAGGGCACCCCAATATTGAAGACATTTTTCCTGTTACAATTAGGTCTCACCCAGTGATGGCTCCTTGGAGCTGAGCTATGCCTGCTTAGTATTCCAACAACGTAGGCAATGTCTGGGCGGGTTCCGAGCATGGCATACATGAGGGAGCCTACAATTGAGAGGTATGACACTTGACGCCCTTCAATATGCATCCTGTGTTGCACAATATCTTCCCCTGGAGCATTTACAAGGAGTTTTGATCCATGGGCCATTGGTGTCCATACTGATTTGCAGTTCTTCATTCCAGTACGCTCCAGGACTGTGTCAATGTATTGGCGCCGCAACAGGAATATTGTTTTGTTTGAACGATCACGTTGGATTTCTATTCTGAGGATGTATTTTGCTTCTCCAAGGTCCCGCATTTTGAATATGGATTCGAGTTTGGCTTTTGTGATATCCATGAATTTTCAGGATGAAGCTCCTAGGAGGAGGTCATCTACATAGACAACAACAAAGCATATTTGTTTGTTGTCCCGGAATACATAGAGACATATTTCTGCATTTAGTCTTGTGAAACCGAACTCCTGGAGCTTGCAATCAAAGGTTTTGTTCCATGTATGACCAGCTTGTTTTAATCCGTAGATGGATTTCTTCAATCTCCAGCGGTATCCAGGTTGGATAGGAACACCCCCTGGAGGAAGCATGTACAGTTCTTCTTCAAGTTCTCCATTGAGATAAGCTGTGGATATGTCCATTTGATCAAGTTCTAGGTTGTACTTTGCTGCCAGGGCTAGAATAATTCGGATTGTCTCTAAGTTTGCAACCGGAGCAAAAACCTCCTGGTAATCAATCCCCTCCCTTTGAGTAAAACCTTGTGCAACAATCCGGAGTTTGTATCTCTCAATGTTTCCGTTTTGATCAAACTTGATCCGGAACACAGGTTTTGATGTGATGGGTTTTACTCCCTTCGGAAGTGGAACAGTATCATATACTGCATTAGTATCGAGACTTAGGAGTTCCTCCTCCAAGGCAGACTTCCATAATTCACCATCCGGACGTGATACGGCTTCCTTTAGTGTCCTTGGAAGGTCTGTGTTAGATGGACCAGTACTTGCTATTCCAGCAAAGAATGTCTCCTCTGTATCAGATGTTTCTTCATGAACCTCAGGAGTGTTAGGTTTCTCCATGGAGTTGTCATGCTGCTCTTTTCGAGACTGTTCCTCATCTAGAGTCCTTTGATAATCTTGGTTTTTGTCTGCAGGACGGGTCTGGTGACTGCTTCTGCGTACTCCTAGGACTTCAGCAGGCATGACTGCTCTTTTAGGGACTTGTGCAGGTACTCCAGGGAGTAGCAGCATTTGTGTATTTGTTGCCCCACTCACTCCTGAAGGTGTTGAATTACTCCTCGGAGGTGTTGAATTACTCCTCGGAGGTGTTGTATGCCTTTCCAGAAGCTGATCCAATGGACAGGCTGTCTAGCTGAATTCGGACTTTTTCCACATCAGCTGGCTGTATGTTGAGGGGCTGTCCTCCCACTGACTGTAACTCTACTTTGGCTTTCCGTTCTGAAGATGGCCAGTGTTCAGGCCTTGGTTGTAGAGACTGTTGTGGAGGGTGTTTTAGCTGATCAGGTGCTCCCACTGCTCTCGGAACATCTTCATGCTGATATGGTTCCATTGCTTGTGGAACATCTCCTTGGAGATGTGGTTCCATTTGCAATTCATTTGGATCTCGGATCAGAGGGTCAGGATCATCCTCCTCCAATGTTTTTTGGTCTGGATAGTGAGCATTCTCTGGAATGAGTCCCTCCCACTGATCTGTGCTAGTGTCTGTGTTCCAGGGAGCAGTGTCATCTTTTTGTACCTTTCCGGATTCATTGAATATGACATGCCGACTGGAAAACACAGTCCGTTTTTCAGTGTCTAGGAGTTTGTAGGCTTGCTTTCCATGTGTGTAGCCAATCATTATGGCTTTGCGCCCCTTGGAGTAAAACTTCCCTTGCCTTTTGTATATCGGAATCAAGGCATATTCTTGGCATCCGAAAGGGCGAAACAAAGTTGGATCAACTCTCCTTTTAGACAGTACTTCATATGGGGTCTTCCCATGGAGTCCTGATGCTGGGCTGCGTGCTGTGATATATGCAGCTGTTTGCATGGCATCTACCCAAAATGACTTTGGGAGCTTGGAATCATAGAGCATAGTGGTTGCTAATGTAGCCAATGTCTGATTCATGTGTTCTGCAATGCCATTTTGTTCCGGAGTATCTGCAGCTGTAGTTTTTTGGATGACACCATCTTCTCGGAGTTGATTTTTGAATGCATTGCCAGTATATTCTCCTCCCCCATTGCTCCGGAGGAATTCTGTGTACAGTGGTGTGAAGTGTTCTTCTCCCAAATGAGT